AACATAGGGAGTCAGGACAAGAAGTACCTATCAAGTCACCGGTGATATAATGCGTGCTGCGTGCACTGTCATGCTCGGGCTGTACTGGTTTAGCAGCTGCTGAGATGCGATCGATCACACAGGGCACTCGCAAATGCAGGGTGGAAGAGGGTGGCTAATGACCAAATTCGGCGCCGCAGAAAGGTATAGCGACCTCCAAAGGCCCTTGGCCGCAAGCCACACCTTCTTTCCGAACCATTGCCGGCAGCGGGCGCTTGACGGACAGTCCGTGCTGACGCAAGCACCTTTTGCTCGTTGGACAGCACATGACCGAGCCGACAGCTGTGCGATTGCACTGAGTCCTGCAGGAATCGGTGGCCAGTGCTCAAAGACCTACAGTCAGCGCACTTGCAGCCTTCGCCCGGTCCATCAGAACGGTGACCTCACCCTGTCAACCGTCGAGCAAGTCGCTGACAGAGTTCTGGCGCTGGCCGCTGGGTGAGCAGCAAACTCTAGCATAGGCTGATGCCTTACGAGGCTCAGCTGGCTGAGCCCAAAGTGCAGAACCTTGTGTGGCCAGGGTCCACGTTTCATGTTGAAATATTCAGGTTTTACGGACTAAGGAACCAGCGAGATCCCTGCAATGCTGGCAAGCGATAAACATGAGACGTCAAGCCAGACAGTTCAGAACACAAGAGGTACGAGGTAGCAAACCCACACGGCGCATGCAAATGGGGCCTGGGGCCTGGGGGCGGAAGATGAATCTTGCAGGACGCATGAGGACGGCGCGTCAGAGTTCACAGGAACCCTGACGTCTGTGGTTTGAGGACGACAGGAACGTCAAGAGCAGCTCCCAGGACTCCCCACCCGCACGGTCGCTGACGTTAGCGCTGGCACTCGCTGCCGTTATAATGCACTCAGGACCTATTCCTTGGGGAACAGTTTCCATACTGCCTAGCCGTTGGGGAGCGGGGCGAGGGGAGGACTGGGAATCTGCCCACCCTTCGGTCGTTCGACCTCTCGGTACGCCTCAGGCTCTTCGGCCTGCTCGGGGCAAGCGCTTGAGCGGCCCGTCGCTCTTTCCCTCGCTCACGAGTTCCAGTCCCATCTGCGGAGTGGCCGGTCCAGTCTGGACCTTGGGTTGCCCTAATAACAACACAAGCGACGGTACACCACAACAAGGCCAGGCCGTCCGTCGGCGCGGCGAGCATGTGCTCCGCTTGTGGCTCTTGCAAACGGCTGTTCCCAGACGGGGTGGAGGTCCGCGGTCATATGTGAAGGGAGCTGCAGCCAGTGGGGATGCTAGTATGACAGTGGAGCGTCGAACGTCTCAGTGACAGACCAAGCTAGCGGAAAGAGAAAGAACGTCTCACCCGCTCGCTCGGTTCCAATTGCTAGCCTACGCCGGTACGGGGCTGTGGGGCGACACCTATGTCAGGTCACGAGCATCAAGACTGTCCTCGTCAAGGCATCACAACATCGGAGAGAGTAGCGAACAGTAGCGAGCTGGCTATTCCGTAAACACCCACCATGAAACGGACCGATATCAAGGTGAGACAACGTACACTTTGCCGCCAGTGACCTCATCGCTTCTCGTCATTTCCTACGCGTTCTGCCGGGATTGTGAGCATAGAAACCAAAACAATACTCTGCAATTATCCGAAAAAAGACGAGAATCAAGATCTCCTGCACCAAGCTGTACGGCAATACCTAGGAAAATGGACAGGGCTGCATGCATGCTTGTTTTGTTTTGGTGGATGTGGTGAGCGGAGTAGACGAGCGGGATGAGCGCTCTGACCGTCCAGCTGATGCAAGCCATTAGCCATTTTGGGTGAGACCCAAAACACTCTTTCCGCGGTCCCTTCGCATCCCTCGGCAGTGGTTCCGCCTTTTTAGTTGGAGAAGCCCCTTCGCGACCCTCCTGTCCGTCTGTCATCTGCTGGGAGTTTGGCCACCGTCGTTCCTGGTTCAACCCCCCTCCCCCCCTCCATGTCCTGAACGCCGGCGGGCCTGGGGAGACGGGCGCTTCAAGGCTCGCACGGGCTGAGAGTTCTCATTCTCTTTCGCGGTGCCTTGAAGGACAAGCACAACCTGTAACCGTCTCAGCGCATCCGATTAGGTTTAGCAAAACTCTATGTCGAGTTTGACACCCATGTTTTGATGTTTTAGCTTGGGTTGGAATGCGTGCGGGCCACGGCATTGGCTGCTTGTTCTTCATGATACGTACTGCTTAACCTACCTATGACATGCAGGTGACTCTCCCTCGGCATATGTCCCTGTGTCTGGTCTCCCACACCACTTTCCCTGCGTCCTGCGCATTCTGCAGCCTGCATGTTGCGTCTCGATTTGCGTACCGTGTCTCCCACAAATGCATCTGCCTACATCAGCCCCGGACCAGCGAACTCTTTCCAGGCTTAGGTCAACAGGTCCTGCCCCTCACCAGCGACGTTTCTCATTCTCTCGGCCCGCGCCACTGCAGGGCTTGTCCGCGACAACCCCTTCAAGCCTCCCGCCCTGTTGATCGACAAGTCGCCAAATCCCCGAGCTACTGCCCCTCAACTCCACTATCCTGACGTCCTGCTTTCCTGGCCTGTTCCTCTGCCCATTGCAGGCGGGCGTCGCTCTGAGCACGGAAGCCTCAGTTCCCATGCCTGCATCGACGAAAAGCAGCTACTTGACAGGCGTCTAATGCATACCCTGCGGGCCACACACTCACCTTGTCGTATTGTTAGCTTTGACCTGAGATCTATTCCACTCGGCAGGGCCTGGTAAAGATGGGGAACCGTAAGCGCAGTAAATCCATAGGCCAACATGCGAAACAGCACAGCGGCAGCGACGCTTGCAGGTCCTCTGAGACGACCCGAGTCGTGTTGACCTAAACTGGCCATAGACCCCACCATCAGCCGGCGAGCGGCGAGGCTTGAGGTCACCCTTACATGAGCCAAGGGTTCAGATCACCCCTCTCCACTTTTCTGTTTTCTCTAGATTACACTATCGCTCGCGCTCCTGCGCTCCTAGTCCTTGGTCGCCGTCCCTGTGCACTGTCCACCTTCCACGGTCATGTTCTCTGGACCTCTCATGTTCCTCCCTATTCCTTGATCCCTAGCTTGCCTCTCTGACTTGCCGCCTTGCACCCACTGCCCCTACACTGCCGGGCCAGGTGCATCTCCGCAGCCAGAGTGTCGATACTGCAATCAAGGACAGGATCCTGCACGATATCTCTAACAATTATCACACTTCCGTCAGGCCCACGAGGCTCTTCCTGAGGGGGTTATTCAGGCCAGGACCGACTACGCCGTCGCCGCTGCTACGTCCCATCCCAGACGATCCTGGCAGACCAGGGGCACCCCCGGCGGAACCAGAGCAGAGGAATAACCCAGAGAAGCGCACAAGCTCAAACGACCGAACGCGAGCAAACGAACCAGCATCGGTACTTGGCTCAACCTCTGCCTGAGCCCAGCCTACGCCTACACCCTACGCCCTACGCCCGCGGGCAGTGAGCCGAAGGAGAACGAGACCAGCCTACCAGCCGTCCGTTGACCCGTCCAGCCGCCTGCTACCTCACCGCTAAAGTGTATCAGATCGCAGGATCGCAGGAGGCAGGATCAAGGATTAAGGAGCCAAGCAGCTCAAGCACGAGTCGCATCAGCCATAGACACGGGGCCGATCAAACTTGTGGGTCGGTCTGTCTCAACCAACATATACCTTAACATCATCATACTTTGCCTTGACACTTGCTCCATACTACCACTCCAATCCCGGTCGTCACCATCGCCGTCGTACTCGGGCATTGTCTGTTATCTTGTCTCGCACGCACGGAAGTGACAGTCTAGCCGCGGCGACCGATTGTCCAGAGTCTTCGTCTCTCGTCGTATTCGCGTAACCCGCAACTGTCTGCGTCCGAGTGTGCGTGCCCCGCCCTCGCTCGCACTTCCCCGGACCGGATTGGACTGGATTGGAATCCAAGCAGTGGCTCTGGAGCAGAGTTTTGACGGAGTGGTAGAGCGAGCGCTGGGTCTAGGGCCAATTTCTCATTCCCCCATTCCACCTCGCCATCTCCATATAACATAAGCCGTCCCTCCAAATCACCGTTTCCCGTCCTTCCTCCCCCGCCCTCCCTTATCCATCTTCCCACCACCTGCACCCCTCGACGCGTCTAGGCTCAACGATCACGCAGAAGGCGCACGCAACCGCAAGATCCTCCTGACAGCCGACCGACCGACTCCAACGTACTCCACCTGCGCCTTGAGCCGCCGTGCCCCCGTGCCGTGTGCCGTTGAAAGCGCCAGTGCCGCCATAGTTGCCGTTCCGCCGCGCGCCGTCTGAGCAGAGAAACCGGGGCAGACCAAGCGGTCATAGAACCTTGTTTACGCAACTGCAGCTGCTACAATTCTCAGCGCAGGCAACAACATTCGAAACCGCACCCACACCCAAAGCCAATCCTGCAATCCTGCCCTCGCCTTCACCCTCATCCGGCCGGCGAACAGGACACACCAAGGGCATCCCAAGGGCGGATCAGCCTACGACTCTCCCACTCACCACATACATCATCCCACTCGGCACCATCGTCATCCGCATCATCATTCATTGACCCAACCCAAATTCAAACCATACATCCATTCCTTGTAACTGCATCGCACGACACGACAACAACAACCCACAGCACGCTTCTCCCTCTCCCACACTAGCTCACCACCACCGACACCGACGCCGCCGCCTCAGTCCACCAGCCGCGCCGGCCACATCGCATAGCTCCCGCCAGCAACTTCCTTCTCCCCTTCTCCCGCTCTTCGAGTCACCCCATCACTGCATCTCCAACCATTATCACCACTAACGTCGCTTACGCCTCTGGACCGACCCAACCAGCCTCTCGCCGCAGGGTCGGATCCGTTTCGTTCCTCTCCTCGTCGCCTGCCCCCTTCAACCGCATTCTCCCCCCGCCGGCTGCGACTCGAGGACTGCACGCATCACGAGTTCTTTCGACCTCCTCCCTCCTCCCATTACCCCTCAGCCCTACTGCAATGCAAAGCTCAGTAGGACCATCCTCGGGCGGTGGGGTTCCTCCACCGGGAAGAGGACCACCTCCACCACCCGGTCACGGGGGAGGCCCAGGCGGACCGGATGACGGTGACAATCGGTCCCGCAATGCAAAGGCGCAGCGAAGACATCGCGAAAAGCGCAAGGCCCATTTCAAAGCAGTGAGTATTTTGGCACATTTGATCCGAAGGATGTTCATTTCCCCTCATCCCTCGTCCCTCTGATCTGGGACTGGGTGGAGCACGCGGCAGCATGGACGGGGACAGGACATTTGCAGGACGGCGAGCCCGGCCAGGACAGCCGGGTGGTCTGGTCTTGGTGACAAGCGTGGTGATAATGAATGAGCCCTGGTCGCCTAGGGTCTGGTAAGGAGGGAAAGGAGGGATCCAGGAGCGCACGAGGGAGAAGGGGACTGGGCGGGTTCAGGCTCAACCCGGTACAAGATTACCTTTCGACCTGGTGCCTAGGGCGTGGTGGCGTTGAATCGCTGCATTCAATCGGTCCGGTGGTCGGCGGCGCCTTCGGACAATGTTCTGTGCCATCCAGTGCGCACACCCCCGCCCCTGGCCCCGCACTTGCAGATGCACACGGTGCACACGCGCGCTCGCCGACGGACGACCGACCGACCGACCGCCCTAGCGAGCGAGCGAGCGACTCATCCCAAGACCCTGCCGCTAAGTGCCGGCGCAGCAGCCGGTGACCGCACACCGCACACCGTCCGAGACTAAGTCTCGGTGGTGCACTGGCTCGCCCGCTTGCTAGCAATCGCTGGCTCGGTCGGTCACCGCTCTCAATGCAAACGACCCGCACATGAAGTGTGTGAATCACAGTGCGCGCAATCAATCCACCCCGTCCCCAGCCTCTGAAAGGGTGCATGGCACAGCGGGTCACAGGTGACAAACCCGTGCACCGCCACCCCATTGATGCTTGTGCATTATCCTTGCCGCTGTTTTCTGGTTCTGCCCCATCGCCCATGTGGTTTTGCATGCAGGGAGAGAATGCTTGCTGACACGATTCACAGCTCGAGGAGTCTGTTCAGGTTCTGACGGCTCAACTAGAGGAGGCCCGACGGCAACTAGCGAACGCGGCTTATGCGTCGTCCAGCCGGATGGTCTACTCGCCAGACGCAAACAAGGACGTTGCGCAGCTGGCGAATGAGGTCGCCTACCTGCGGGAAGAGAACAATGACCTGCGGAGGCAACTATACGCACTCCGGTATGCACGAGGCGAGTCGACATCCAGCGGAATGGTACCTCCATCTTCCGCTGGCGACCCGCAGGGCAAGGTCACGACCGGGATCTGGCCCGAGGTTAAACAGGAGGGAGCGTACGTCTACAGCACCCCTGTCGTTTCTTCGCCTCGAGTTGCGTCAAGTCATGGACGGACAATGTCGCATCCGGGAGACTTTGTTCGGGTGAGTGCATGGAGTAAACTGTATCGTCCCACTAACATGCTCAGGCGCCGTCACAGTCTCCTTACGTCCCGTCCGCACCGTTCCCGGGCGCAGATCCCCGCACGGCGTACCCGCCCGTCCGCTACGAGTCTGCCGTTTACCCGGCGCCGCCGCCGCACTCGCTGCCGCGGTCTGCGGTCGGATCGAGCGGGTCGTCAGGCTCGGCCAACTACCAGCAGCAACAGGTATACGTCCCTCAGCACGCCGAGGGTGAAGTCGCATGGAGTCAGGACGTGAGCTGGACTGGGTCAGGAGCACCCGTAGCTGGAGCCCAGCCCTGACAATAGCAGCCTCAGACACAGCAGTCAACGATGACCCAGCCGCGATACTTTGATCCCCAGCAACAGCCGCCGACGCAATAGTCCCCCAGCCACCGTGTACTTGTATCTCTTCTTCGACCTCCTCCGGCCAAGCTGTTTTCCCCTTAACCATCACCCTCTCATCACCACACCCAGAATCGTCCCTCCCATCTCGCAACACTTATAGACTACTCCTTCTCCAGGTAATCTCTCTCTCCCTAACTCATACCCCCGTTCGCGCTCGGTCCATAGTTCGTTTTGCCTCTTATATTCTTGTTTCACTAGTCGCCCCCGAATTCCTCTTCTCTCTTGTTTGCTCCCTCCCCCCTTCTCTCCAAGCAGTTACCACGGACACTTGCGCCTTCCCCATTCTAGCTCCGTTTTGGTCCTATCTTTTGCTCTCATCTGTAGTCAATCATATGCAGGAATCTGGATTGCAGCGCCGGCAGCGAACGGAGTGAGCTCGGGGGATGAGCGCGGTGAGTGCAATGGGGCAGTGAGCACACACAGCAGGCGCAGTGAATCAGACAGTGAACAACATCACGTCAGCCACAGTCTTGCATGTCCGATCCACGAGCAGTGCAAAGAAGTTGGTGACTACCATGTACGTTAACGTATGGGCAGTAGGCACCCGGTGCCATACCCCGTACTCCTAGTGGCGATGAATAGGATACTCCGAGATATGTATGTACCCGATGTACCGAGAATACCTCGAGTGTTCTTCGGGGTCCCAAGCTCCTTGCAGTTTGGGGCGTACGTATCCAGCCTTAGCGTGGAGAAGGGGCTTGTTCCAGTTGTGCAGATCGTGTCACGCCGTGACATGTTTTTCCTGTGTTCCTGATATACCACGTTCAGAGGCAGGTTCAGAGATTCGATGGAGGAGGGAAGGGGCCAAGGGAGAGGGGGAGGGGGAGAAGGTTGTTCTAGCGCGGGCTTTGTTGGGCGGGTCGTCTGGTGGAGGGCTGTGGCGGAGTGCGGAGTGAGGAGTGCGGGAGCCTGCGGAGGTCGTCGCCATGAGCGTGGAGAGACTACGGGAGAGTGCGATTCCGGTTTGTGTTCCACTGCATCTATCCGGGAGTATGCCTAGTGCTCGGCACGCTCGGGAGGATTCCAGCTGATGTCTCTGATGTCTCTGACGTTTGGAACAGACTGCAATCGGTATCACGGCGAGCTGATATCTCCGCGAACTTGTCTCGAGCTATCCCATGACCCAGACCAAAGTTAATGTGGGGGTGAATGTGCAATGTACCCAGAGCGTACTCAAGGGCTTGCCGTGTCTTAGCAATGTGTGGTACGCACATCACCTGTCTCACCTCGTCTCAGCTGTCTCAGCGTGTCTCAGCCTCATGTCTGTGCAGACATGGAGTGTATGCGACGGTACGTTGTGTGTCATGTCTCAGACTGTTGTGGCACTACACCGTCGAGCGTCGTAAGCTCTCTGTCCCACGATACTTAGCCGTGACATGTTGGTGCTCCGTCGGCATCGCGGTGTTCTCTGATCCCCGCTCTCAATCTGAGTGGCAATCCTCGGCGCGCTGGGCTCCGAAGGGTGGCGGATATATAACAGCTGCGCTACAGAGTGAGTCGTAAGCCCGTCTCAGCTGGGAGTGCGATGGTCGTCTTACTCGGGACATCTACGTGTCCGCCTGACCTCTTCAGTCAACCGACGCACTTCTACAGTTGACAACACCCGCCTCATCAGCCACCAGCTGACACAGATTGGACCCAGTTGTCACCTCGCTCTGCCTCGCTCTGCCTCGCTCTGCCCCACTCGCAGCCTACTTTTCGGCCCTCGAGGATCTACCAGACAGACCATCGCCTGCACCTCGCCAGCAAGCAACGCTGGGTGCATGTCCGACACACGTCCGACACGTCCGACTCTCGGAGGCCTGTGTCGGCTCAACGGCTCAATATCGGCTGTCGAGGACTCATCAACGACGCGTCGGCGCCACAGGTGGCGTTTACTTAGGCTTCCCGACGGGACGGTATGATCGCACCCCAACATCTTCGCGTCCTGATTGTGAAAAATCGCCGCGGCAGTCGTTGTTGACCCTCACTCATCCACTCAGCGCCGAGCCATGGCCCCTCGCCCCTCGCCCCTCGCCCTCGTCGACTTGGACTGATCGTGATAGTTTCTCACCTGACATGGCCTGCCTTCCTTGATCCTTGACTTGCTCGACTTGTTAGTCGACCTGACCTTGTCTGACTCACTGTGCTTGCTTGGCTTGCTTTGGCTTGCTTTGGCTTGCTTTGGCTTGCTTGGCCTGCTGTGGCCTGTTTGGCCTGCTTGACCTGACGCTCGACCTCGGCCGGACGGGGCTCGGCCCACGTCAAAGCGGCCCACGCCAGAGCTAATCACTCTACTGATATTTTGTCAGTGCAAGGCGTCAGAGCTCGCGAGAGTTGTACACTATTCCATACAGAGTATATGCTACAAGGTATCCTGGGCGTCGAGTCGAGCGCAGTCTCCCTATTCCCCCAATCGCCCGACTCATCCCCTCTGACTCGACTGTTCACTGCCGTTGCCTCCACACTCCAACTGGTGATGGTGTATCCTCGCCTTGATCTTCCTCCACCTCGCATGCGCCTTGGTCTCGCCATCCGCATCGCTGTCAGGCGGCTGCTCGACCGCAGTGGGCTCAATGGGGTTCCCATCCTCATCATATGCGGGCGCCTGGCCGTGATGTTCTTCCCACGTGCTCGCCTGTTGATCCCCGGAGCTGTGAGAGGAGGACGGGGCGGGGTAGAACGCCTCGCTCTCGCTGTCCTGGGTGTATGTGAACGGACCGAGTTCGGCAGCAGGCGCGGGATTGAAGCAGCTCTCAATCACCAGGTCGGGCTGCATGCTCTCGTACTCCATGATGGGGGACGTGGCGCGGATGAAGCCCGCGGGCGAGTGGCGCGACATGCTGAGCCCGAGCGAGTCTAAAGCGGAGACGGTGCTGTCGTAGCGCGCGTGAGATGTGTGCGGCGAGTGCGGCGAGGAGGGGGAGGAGGGCGAGCGCGGCGTCACGGGCGACAATGTGGGGGAGAGCGAGAAGTACTCCCCGCTCTTGGACGTGACGGGGGAGAGCGTGGGCGGGAGCGCCGGCGTCTGCAGTGGTGAGGCCACGATCTGGTTCTTGCTCAGGACGGGGGAGAGGGGCGCGTCGTCTGATGTCGAGGCGTCGAGCGTCGTCGCGCGGCTGTCGATTGGCACCGTTGCTGCGCGCTGCGTGCCCTGCCCCTGCCCCTGCTCGTCATCATGGCCGTGGTGGTGGTGGTGATGGTGGTGGTGGTGATGCCGGCGATGCTCGGGCCGCAGATGATACTCATACGAGTGGTAGCGGTGCTTGGTCATCTGCGTGACCTGGTTAACCTGCTGTTGGTTGAGGGAGATGTTGCTGCGCGTGGAGCGGAAAGACGGCCGGCTCGCCTTAGAAGCGCGGCTGCTGTCGCTCGCTGTGCTGCTGATGCTGCGCGTCGGCATGAGCTGCAGCTCGGCGTACTCCTCCTCCCGGCCCGTCAGGTCCGTCAGGTCCGTCAGGTGGCCCTCGGCAAACGGCGGCGTGATCCACTGCGTGTCCCCTCCGATGCAGCGCATGTCGACACTGATGCGCAGCGTCGCGTTCGTCCGGCTGTTCATCAGGAGATAGCGGCGCGCCGTGGGGCCCTGGTCCGCGAACGGCGCGAGGTCGACATTGACGTGCCCGAGAACTGTACCCTCACGCTCGCCGTTGTGCACCTGCAGCACCTCGAGGCGGAGACTGCTGTCGCTCATTGGGCCGTGACCGAGGATCGGGAGCATCTTGCGCGGATTTGTCTTCTGCGACGCCGGCAGACGCGACAGCGACACATCGGCCGTCGGCACAGCCTTGCCGAGCGGCAGGCGGAGGACGTGCTGGATCGCATACTCCCACGCGACGGCGTGCGCGCGGACAGGCGCCGGCGGAATCGTGCCCTTGCGGTCCTTCGAGTCATAGTGGGCCGTGGTGAGGGAGTAGACGGCGCCACGCGCCCCACTGAGGGCGCTCGCGGCGCCAGTGCTGGCGGTCGGGCTGGCGTGCGACGTCGACGCGGACGCCTCCGTGCTGACGTCGCTGCGCATGCTGGCCCGGCTCTCGCGGCCGCGACCACTGTCCGCGATGGACGTCGTGCGAATCTTGAGGCCGCCGGCTCCGCTCGCGCCCGGCGTGCCGCTGCCATGGCTGCCGTCCGAATACATGCTGTGCTCGCGGGACGACGCAGGCGATGTTCGCTCCGGATCCGTCGCCGTGTCAGGGGTCGCCGGCGTCATTGGCGTCGCATTGCCAAAGTCCTGCGGCTCCTCGACGAGGACACTCCGGCGCTTCTCGGGCGTACCCGGCGGGTCGGAGAACTTGTGTTCACGCGAGCGAGGGAGAGGCAGAGAGGCGGCATGTCGGATTGTTCGGTTCGCCAGGTTGCTGCCTGATGTTGACGAGTGCACGCTGCTGCGGATACTCGCAGCGTCCGCAGCCATGCGGGCTGGAAGCGGAGGCTGGCTCGTTGGTGTACCGGTGCCGCGCGCATTCGCCCGCGCCTGAAGCGCCTCGCGGCCCGTTACTCGCGGTGTCGGGTGCTGGAGCATCTTGTCGGCGTCGAGCGGTCGCGAGCCGCGGAACTTCCACCGGATAGCAAAGTCGCCACTGACCTGCGGCACATTCGTGAGCTCATGCACCGTCACAGCCGCCAGGAAGGTGGCCGTAGGCGACGAGTCGAAGAGATGCCGCAGCTTGTGCGAGATCGTGTTGGCGTGCTGAGGTTGTCGTCGGAGCGAGCTCGAGGTCGCAGAGCGCTGCACCGGCGTGCTCGTGCTCGCGGTGCTCGTTGCCGTCGACCGGATCGACCCCGCCCGCGAGCTCGAGGGCGGCAGCGTCATCGTGCTCATAGTGGCGAGATCGAAGATCGTAGATGCCCGTGGTCGGGGGTTCGGAAAATAAAATTCGCTGCTAAAGTTCGGTGGGGTCGTGTGGGGTAGTCGAGAGAATTAGATCTGGGTGGTGTGTTGATTGTTCTGATAGGGAGTGAGTGTGTGTGATGAACGCGTCGAGAGAAGCTAGTCGAGAAACAGTCGAATGGAACGAGTTGGAAAGCGCCGTGCTCGTCTGTTCAGACGGGGACGAGTATGCTTGCAGCAACAGCAACGTCAGAACCGATGTCGACACGGAGCCGAGGGCAGTGACGTTGTCGCTTGAACGATGACTGGTCCGGCGGAGTTGCGTCGGCGCTGTGGAATTCAAAAAACTGTCCTTGCTTCGTTCCTCTCGGTCCTCTGAGCTTCTGGCCTTCTCGCTTATCGACGTCCTGGACGGTGCCTCCTGGGTACCTTCAGACGTCGTGTCTTGGTGAATATGTCCGTGATTACACCCTCAGCGCGCAGCACTAAGGGCAATCGAATGTTGCGTTTGGCGGGGCGCGACAAGCAACGGAGATACACAGAAAGTCGTAGGTTGATAAGAACTGTCCAACGGGGGTGTTCGAGAGCGAGTGCGTTGGGGAGTCTAACAGTCGTCGTGTATGTCGGTCAAGCAGGAGACGGGGAGAGGGACAATGCGAAGGACAAGGTCAAGTCTCAAGGCTGAAGAACAAGCGACATGTTGATGGACGTGGAGTAGAGATGCCAAAACTTCGGAGCACGCGGTCGGCGGTGCTGGCGATGGGGAATGGAATGCGTCGACTGAGCTAGAGAGAGGACGAGAGCACGCGCGACGATGTGGGGCGGCTAGTGCTGATACGGCTAGTGCGGCAGAGGCGGCAGTCGAGTCGTTGTTCTGGCGGCTGCGACGGCTGAATTGTGTTGAATGTGCAAGTCCACACTTTCTTATTGTCGTCGAAAGTGCTGGGGCAGACCGAAGTAGGAATGAGCGATGAGTAAGGAAGGTGTGGGGAGATCTGGTGGGGGAGGGGGAGTTTTGAATCGAGGAATCGAGACAACGGTTGTGCGTGTTGCTGGAAGCGGTAGATGCGTTGGGTTCGGCGATGCTTGTTCAGGCTCGGGCAGCTGGCCAGCTTGGCTTGCGGCGTGCACGATGCGTGTTGATGAAAAGAGGCGTGCCCAGGATCGGTACACGGGCCAGGTCAAGTGACGACGTGCAGGTGGTCACCGATTGAAGGGTTCTGCGTACTGGTTGGAATGGGAGCTGGCAACTGGCAGCGTCGACCCCAGCGGGGAGCCCGAGGTCAGGACTCGCTGAAGGGACAGGACAGGGGGAGGGACACGCGCGCGGAGATCGACGCTGGGCGGGCAGCGGCTCCAGTGGCCAACGGGGGACGCGTGCTTGCGGGCGATGAGGGAGAGTTGGTTGCTCGATGCAGAAGCAGAGCCCAGGGCTTCTCTCGTGGTTGTCCCTGTGCTGATTGCCTGTCAAAGTCCGGCGGCGTTGGGAGGCGTTTTTCTCTCTGTTTGACTGGGCGTGCTCGCTGGCTCTGGCTGCTGATTGAGGCGTTTGGCCAGTCCTTAGGGACCGATAAGGGATCTCTCTCCGTCGATGACGTGGTTCGCAGTAATGGCGGCCAGGCCGATGTCCGAGTCTCGTGTGTGGCTGCTGATGCAATCGGAGTCGGAGGCAGGCGGGCGTATCTGTTGTCGAGTTCGTTGGGTCAGATATGTAGCAAAAGAGACAAAGTGGTGGAACAGATTGGAAGGACAGGACGAGAAGATGGACGGGCGGAGGACATGGGCCGCCGCTCAAATCCAGACTGTGCAGTGGCGACTTGCATCCGACGGTTCAGACAGCGGCCCAGGCTCAGCCGGGCTTGGTCTGTCGCAGTCCCAGGCCGTCAGGACTACGGCATGACGGTCGAGTCCTGACGGCTCGACGGCTCAACGGGGCGCCCGGGAGGACCGAGGGGCCGATGGGTGCCGTTTGTAGCTCCTGCGAGCCGGACGTGCTCACAGGGGCATGTAGCAGCCGGGGCATGCATGCCCTGTACGGCCCGGTCTGGGGAGGTCCAGGAGGGTTTTGTGTCGTAAGGTTTGCATGAATCTGAGTCTATTGGACGTACATCTGACGTAGAACGCATGGTGCTCTTGCATACCGAACTGTACGTACACCGTTTCGTACCGTTTCGTACCTTGTCGTTGAAACGACATGCTCCTGCCTGCTGCTTGCAAACTTCAGTCCTTGGCTGCCCGCTGCCCGCCGCAGACCGTGTGCAAGAACTGCGAAGCCAGGCCCCAGGCCCCGTTAGGCCCGGCACTCAGGCCCGGCACGCCCCGGCAGTTAAGCCACTCTCTAGTGCTCTCCCCACTGCCGCAAGTGGTATCTTTGTGCGTAGAGAACGTGGTTGTTCCCGGTCTGTGTCCTGTCAGTTTGGGTCAGTTCGGATCCCCGTGGTGGGACCGGAATAACCCAGAGCTGCTTTGCGGGCAGACGCAAAGCGACGAAGCGACGTAACCAAAAGAGTGCACAGGTTGGACCGTCAGGTGGGCAAGACAGACGCCATCGTTGCCGGTGTCAAGTTTAGCTCGCCGTAGGCCCCAAGAAACCTGTCAGAGCTGCATCCGAGTGCCTTATAGCTCTATCCTACGAGAGATGCCCTCGCAGCCTCCCGGGTTCCCGGAGGGGGCACGGTACGCGGCAAGCGATAGGTAGAAGCGACAAGACCACAAGACCACGTTTGTCGGAACGCGGCATGCCCCTCTTGCACGCACATGTAGTGCAGATCCCCGTCACGGCGCACCCGCAGAAACGCGCCGTCAGCCCCGGTCACTGGTACGTCTTTCGGGATCGCAGGCCTGCACACAGATATCGCAGGCTGCAGCACACGTTGTGCACTACATGCGCTGCAACCAAGGCTGGCAGCGTGACTCATGTGTCATCCTGCAACCCCTCTCCCTTGGACACCCTGACCGTCGTCCCTGACGCTCCACCGCTAGGAGAACATGACCGAATCAGGCAAAACAAGCAGCCCCTTGGGAAGTCTAATTCGAGAGCTTGAGGCAGATTCCGAGCGAACCGGTCTTGGACAAGGTACCAGGCCCCAACTACTGCTGGCCCGAGACGCGAGACTGGCGACTGACTTTGTCAGGCTGGGAGCTTGCTTGAGTTGCACCCGGAACGCCTGGTGGACCGAGCATGCCGTAGCTTCTCTGCTGTCGTACGTCTGTCTACCCCACCAACTGGACACAGGCAGTGCGGGGGATCAGCGCTCACACGCTAGAGGTCATCAGCTGACACGCGGTCCTCGCCGCAACCATGACCGCTCAATAGTGCGGCACTCTGGCTCTCATGAGGCCCCACACACTTTGCCACTGCACGCACACCCCAGCGGTGCCGCTCTCATTGTTAAGAAAGTTCTGGGGCTGTCACTCTGCACCTCCGTAAAAGAAAGGCGCGTTACGCTCTCGCTAATGTCTAGCTTCGTTAGACTCTTATCGCTGCTGGAACGTCGTACGAGTGTTTCCTGCGGCCTGAAGGTGGATGCGTCGACGGAGTGGTTATCTGATAGAACAGGGCGCTCGCCCTGGCGACCTGGCTCACACGGAGTGATCTCGTGATCTCGCGATCAAGTTGTTCGGAACGCTCGAGCTTGACACCTACACAACATGCTGGGGCCCGAAAGCTTGAGGCTTCTTGCGTATTGGGGAATGCAGGACGACGCCACCCTTGGCTCGTTTGATCTAATTCTGGCATCTACGGTCGATGGCAGGCATTGCTCGTAGTACAGGGGCTGGGCAGCTGATAGTTAGGTTACGGGCGGGCATGCCAGAGCAGCAAGGCAACAGCGATGCACCGCCTACTCGCATCCGTACGACAGTGCATGCAACCATGTAGCCATGGCGCGATATGGTCAGCTGATCAGATGCCCAGCGACACCGGCAACAACGAGATCTCGGGTTGTGGGGCCACATCGCAGTGGAGCCTGTCTCTGGTCGCATGCAGCGATTCCTCAGCGATTCCAGCGCATTGCACCATGTGGGGTGGGATCCGAGCAACCTTCTCCATTGCGTGCGTAGTGCGTGCGGAGGAGCGCATGCGGAGCAACCAGCGAGGAGGCGTAAACAACGCGCAATCCGATCTCTGTGGGAGCAGCTGGAGCAGAGAGAGCGTGACATGACGTCTTCCCACACCACAGCTCTGTGCCGATCAGCGAATTCCAGCAACGCCACGAAAGCCACATGATTGAAGACTCTTCGCCTCGTTTCCCAGGACGGGCAAGCGCAAAATCTTAGCTGGGCACTGGTTGCATCGCCATGCGCAATGCGAAATGATGGCATGGCTTGCGAGTTGCATCTGATTCAGCCTCCATTCATTGGCTGCATGAAGCTTCCCAATATGTCTGAGCGATGGGCGAAAACTGTGGTTGGGAGAACGGCATGACCGAGAGTTAGCAGTCGTTCATCTAGCCTGAGCACGCTGAGCACGCTGGTGGAGCCTCTGAGCACGCTTTGCGCACGCTCTGCGCACAGCGTACAGAACGCACGGAGCAGTCATGAGACCGCGCTCAAACATCTGTAGCAGAGGTCTCAGGAACACAGGGCCTCGTGTACCGAGTACCGATGTCTGGCGTTCCGGACTCGGATTGCTCGCACGTTCCTGCGTTCTCACACTCGCACAGACACACGCGCTCGTTGAGCCCCAGGTTCGAACCAAACTCGTCCCCGGACCGGGTGCCAGGACGGCCAGCCGGGTGCCAGGCAGGCTGAGCCCGGGTGCTCGGATGCTTGAGCCTGAGCCTGAATTCGTCCCGGTCTACCAGATGCCAGAGCAGAATGTAGCGACAAGCGCTGCATTCCGCGGCGTACTTCTCTCGTTATCGCTCCGAACGTACAGTACCGACGTACAAGCAACCATCTTAGTCCAGCTCGACTGTAAGATGGTGGGCAGGATCGTAAGATTGTCAGGATCGTTCGCACGATAAGACCCAGACGCTATCTCGTGATACTTCTCCGCGAGGCTCGGCATCTCGTAAGCGAGCTTGCGCTATCGCTCGACTTGCTGTCACCCGTGACATCCTCAGTTGCACTTCCGCCCGCCCCAGTACCCCCAGAGCCTGAAGATGGGCCGTGACACTCCACAGTAGTGCTGCAACTCACATGCTCTCACGTGCGAAATGGTGCTAAGGCGATCACTGCCCCATCGGATGGGCGCCGGGCGGGGATGTCGGAATGTGTTCGATATGACGAACGCCGAGCGCCGATGTGATCGCCGGTCTGACCGCTGACCGGCGTTACGGCGACTAACGATTTGCTTCTCGCTTATTCCAGACTGGACTTGTTTGTGGGACAGTGAGTACATCGAACACCCTACAAGGAACAGGCAAATGCAGAATGGACAGGCTGCAAGGACATCTCCAGTTGTGCCGGTAGTCTGAGCTAATGTTGACATAGGCGACTGATTACCATTCATCTCGAGCTCCCTCACTCACAGACCTAATGTAGATGTCGCACAACTGAGCGTCAGCTCGGGAGGGGTCCTACTGTACAAGCTCACAGCAGGATTGGTGACCTCGATAAGCCAATTGCGCTGAAAGTGAGCTCTGTATTTACGAAGGGCAGAGCTCCACAGTCCTTACCGTCTACCTCCGTCGCTTGGAGGAATGTGAGCTAATGAAGGCGTCGACCCCGCAGCCACCGAACTGTCGTCAGCTGGCACGAAGGTAGAGGAGCTGATCCGTCCACTTACCCCAGGTCGCGACGGCACTGAACGGTTGACGCCTGGCGTTGCGTTGATGTCGACACAGCTGGACCCCTGACCCCTCATCGCTGCCGTCTCACGGGTGAACAGCCAAGGCTTCGACTTCCAGAGGGAAGTGAGATCAAGCTCATGGGTGGACTGGGAACTCTGATGTCAGCTGCTAACCTAAAGCGCAAGTTAGCACACCGTCACGCTCCGCACTCCGACGACTGCCGCCATGTCTGAGCTGGCGACCGGGCTCAACTGCAGCCAAACGGAGCAACGTTGTCTCAAGCGAACTGGAGTCAGCTTTGCGGAGGGGAGTGGAGTCAGCTGCGACACTCTTATCTCCAGCTCTGTCTTCTCCAAGGCTCACAGTAGTGCTGGTGTTACCTGCTCATCGGAGGTTCGAGTGCCTCGATTGCTGCAGCCGTTTACTCAGGGGCAGCACAGCCCGCCTTCTCTTCCACCCCGAAGGCTTGAGTATCAGCTGCAATCAACTTCTCCAAGCTGACAGATCTCCTGCTCGGGATCAGCTCGAAATTAGGAGGCAAGAAGCTTGCATGCGCAAGCTGGCATCAGCTAGGCCTAGAGACGTCTATCAGCGTGGACCCACAGGAGAATGCGATCTGGAGTTCTGCTGAGGGCGAACTCAACAGCTGAGAACCGGACAACCGGTGTGTCACTTAGATTGACGTACCCCCAGCTCCAGCCGAGGACTGGCGTCAGCTAGCTTGTGCTGCCACTCAGCTTACAGCTCGGTCCGGTTCCCAGTCGGCACACAGACAGCTCGGCATTGCGCGGGAGAGAATTCTCGACGTGAGGGCTGGAGTCAGATAGTTCACGACGCTTAGACTAACCTCCATCTGGTGGATTGCCAATCAGATATTCTGACGAGCAGGCTTGGTCCGTACAGTATGCCGAAGTGGAGTCAGCTAATGACTGATGACTGAGGAAGCTCGCTTGAAAAGACTGATCGTCAGCTCATTCGCGCACGGTAATAGCTCACAATCCATTCCAGCTTGCAGTCCGAACACCAGTCCAATCAGCTACGGGGAAGGACTGGTTGTCAGCTTCTGCACTGGTGCACATGGTTGACAGCTCACCCTCGGCCCCAGCCTGAGGTCAGCGCCGTGGCGAGGCGAGCTCGCTTCCCGAGTTGGCAGAGGGCATAACTCGGGGACGACAGCCTGCACCTTGCGGACTGCTGGCATCTTAGTCCGGTCTGGCATCAGCTTTGCCAGGGCACCAGAAGCTGCACTGAACCTGGACGAAGAGAAAGTTCACACTCTTCTCCGCCTTCCCTCACGGGTGGCAAATTGCGGGCTGGCAGCATAGCGGGCTGGCAAGCTCGCGGTCTGCGTGTAAGCTATGCCCAGTACCGGTCAGCTTACCTTCGCCCCTTAGGTCCAGCGATCGTAACGGGCTAACGAAAAGACGACCTGTGTCAGTGCACGCAAGTCGAAGGAGTTGGTGGGGAACTGTACAACGTCTAGTTTAGTTGTGGAGGAAGGAAGGTCGAGTAGGTTGCGCCCGGTTGACTCAACCTCGTCTCGTGCGCCCTCCGATCACCTGTTGCGCCCCTCCCCCCTCCACCCGCTGCCTACCTTCCCTGCCCTGCTCCACTCGTCACATGTGAGTAAGCTTTGGTCAGTTTGCTCCGTAGCAGTCGGTGGAGGTGTGCGACGACATCGATGCATCGCGTGTGCGCAATCAGCGCGTCCCATAATGATACAACAGGAAAGGAGGAAAAGTGTCCGTGATTGATTGTGCTGGTAGTGTGTGTCGTGATGCCAAGATATCGGGGAAAGCGAGAGTGGGGGTCATGGGTTGGTCAAGAATGAGCAAGAAGAAGTGAGTGTCCATTTTGAGTGTCTTCTGCCCTCGGTGGGCAGTGGCTCCTTTGTTATTGTTTGGAGCTTGGTGGTGTGTTGGGGGATTGGCCAAGATCGTGGAGTGGGTGGGGATGTTGGGAGCGGAGACGGCTAGATGATGCCGTGCTGCTCGCGCTGTCGCGGCTCCTGCGCCGTCCTTGGCGACCCGAGCGGACTGCCGCTCACGCCTGAGAGAGGGCTGCCGGGTCCGCTCGACCTGGGTCTCGGCGACATAGGGCCGGGTGACGACCGGGTGGGTCCAGGGCTTCTGCTCTGGGGCGGGCTCCTCGCTCCTGGCGGCAGGGGGAGGGGGTGCCTCACCCCTGCCGGCGAGCTGGGAGAGGCCAGCATCGTACCAAGGTTGGCCTCAGCTTCCTCGATGACGTCTCCGCTGGCTTCGCGGTCCCAGTTCAGCTCCTCGTACCGTGGCGGCAGCTCTACGACTCGCGAGCTCGCCGCTGTAGGGCTGTTCGGGATCCGCCCCGCATCCCGGTGCACGACGTACGCGCCTTGCGGGTCGTTGTCCTCCTCGAGTCCCGAGATGGGCGAGGGGGAGACGCCGCCCATGGCTGGGTCAATGTTCGTATCGACGGTCAGCATGCCGGGGACGCTAGTCGTGGAGGATCCACGAGACGATTCGCCGGGCCGGTCGAGTGCCGCAATCGTGTCCCGCTTCAGCTGGACAAGCTGTTCCGTCGAGTCGTTGTGTTCCTCTGGTCCTTCGCCGAGCAGGATCTGCCGCTTCAGCGGCGGCAATGAGTGCGCCATGGGCGGATAGCTGATGCCGTCCATAGAGGGCTGGCGACCCATGAAGTCGCCCATGTGGTCGTAGCTCTGGTTCCTGCGCGGCAAGGAGCTTCCAGCAGCGGCGGGCGGGCTCGTCGTCGTCGGACTGCCGGTCGTCGGGTAGTAGTACGGCTGCACGCCGTCATCGTACATGCTACCTCTGTCGTATCCGCTTGTCCGGTCATACCCGCTTGTCCGGTCATACCCGCTTGTCCGGTCATAGGCGCTGGTGCGGTCGTACATTGAGCTTCGGTAGGGAACAGCCGCGTCGTAGAGCGAGTTGCGCGTGCCCACCGGCGGCGGACTGTACGGGTATCCGTTGTAGTCGGCGAATGACTCGGAGCCCATGCTGCCGCGGTCGTAACCGTGCGATGTGACAGTCGAGTACGGCCGCTGGCCGAACATAGTGTGCGTCGGCGTGCCGTCGCTGGCGTCGTCGCGATGTTCTGGCCCCATGAGGTCAAGCTGCGTGTCGGGCGGCTTATACTTGCGATCGAACTTGCCGAAGCTCGCCAGGTTGACGAAACTCGGTTTCGGCCGCCCAGCCTTGACGGCTTGCCGTCGCTCGCGGCGCACCCGACAGCAGCACCAGAACAGGACGCACAAAAGCGCAGTGCCGAGCACACTGAAGATGCACGCGAGGATGACGCCCGTCCACCGCGAGCTTGTCTGGTTGTCGCTCCCGTGGTCGGGTTCCGGGTCGGGAATGGTTTCCGTCGGCTCGAGAGCGCCCGTCGACGTTCCGCTCAGCGTGACGCTCGGCTTCGACCCGCCGACGTTGAAGCAGGTGCTCGGCCCCTGGCCGACAGTCATCATCTCGCTGCTGCCGCCGGACGCCCACTGCTCCTGGCTCCCGATACCGGCGACGAGGATGAAGCGTGTGCCCTTGGCGAGATTGACCGTCCAATTCAAGGACGTCACGCCCTTCTCGGTCCATGTTGTCGGATTGTGGCTGAGATACTGGTCCGGGAGGCCAAACTGCTTCTCCCGGTCCTTGTCGTAGGTGACCGGGATCGAAAACGAGTTGCCTAGCGGGATGATGCCAAAGATTGTCGGCGGGGTGGTCGTGTTCCAGGTGCCAGTCGTGCGGTTTGCACCACTGCTGAAGTCGTCATTGTCCCCGCGCGCCTCGACATCCTCAAGCTCCATATCGAGCTCGACGAGGGGCTCGGTGGCAGCCTCATCACGGCGGTCGAGCATCCACGACTCCGTTCTCGTGTTGGTGTCAGAGCCATTGTCGATCTCGCTCTCGAGCGACGTCGGCCATGATATTGTCAGATTGGAGCACTGAGGCGGCCGGCTGTCGTGCGAGTCGGAAATGTTGAACGCGAAAGTGTACAGGTCGTTGATTTGGTTGTTGTTCAGGAAGCAGGACGTCGTCTTGTTGTGCGAGGGCAGGACGGCTGTACGTCAGCTTTCCACTCAGACACCAAAAAGCGGCTTACTCAATACGTCTGTCGTGCCCGCGTACTCAACGCCACTCTGGCCCCACACGGTCACGACGAACTGCAGTCCGGCCGGCAGATTTATCGGCAGGTCGTACTTGTTCGTCCCGTTGGGGATGCTCGGCACCCACACGTTGTACCCGTACTGCTCAAACGTTGTCTGTGGGATAGGTCAGCGTTTCAGCCCTGCTGCGCAGAATTTTGTGGACGACTTGTCGGTCAGGTCTGTCAGCCGGCCGGTTGCCGGTGCGCCAGTAGTCCAATTGGACCTAGGCAGATCCGGATCCGCAGCATTCTGCCTCGGACGGGCGGGCGCCGTGCACTGACAGTCCTGCCCACTTGACTCGAATACTCACTGGCGTCAGGAGGAGGTGGAACGGCCCATCGTCGCCCTTCCACTGGACGGAGGACATGTTGCACTGTCGAGCTCTGGGGTTGGTCAGCGTGAGCACATGTGGATGGTAACGCACTCGCTCATCCCGACCGTCATGTAGCCCGCCCGCACCAAGCTGATGGTGGCCAGTACGACCAACCAAACAAGCATGGTGGGCGGTGTCTGCGGTTCGGTGCTATCTTGTTCCTTGGAGTTGGGAGGTGCGTCGGCTCTCCGTCAGATAGCGCCGAGAATGCAGATGCGAAAGTCGAGGGCGAAGCCAAGATCAGGAAGCTAAAGTAGGGGTAACACGTGACGCCCGTCGGCTGGGCGTTTGGTCGTGCGCAAGAGGTGGAAGAATGAGTGTGGAGATGCAAGAAAGAGGTCGATAAACAGGCGTCGTTTGTCTGTTGACGTCGGTCGAAGAGGAAGGTCGAGCAGGCGGGCGGATCTGTGGGATCGGCCGGCAATCGAACCGAGCCTCGGTGCGTGAGTCACTCTGTCTGCTAGTCCGGACTGTCTAGACCGAAGTAGACGTCAAAAAGCGGGCAAGCGAGGGTCTCTATCGGTGCTTCGCTCGGTGATCTCGCAGTCCGGAGTCCTTTTGAGCCGATAGCCAGAGTCTCTGTTCCTGTTGATCGAGCGTTGGGAACAAAGTTTTCGGGATGCGGGGGGTCGTTCACTGGATTTATCGTGTGATTCGTGGTTCGGATGCGGGAACGTAGGGGAACGTAGGGCGGATGACGAAACTGTATCACGTTGTGTTGTGCAGTGTGTAGAGTGTGTGGGAATGCAGTCGAGTATCCGCGGGCAAGGGGAGAGAGGAAAACAAGCGAAACGAAGGTGAGTGTGTATAGTGGAGGAAAGGAGTAGAGGGAGGATGAGAAAAACAAACTCTCTCAAAGTCAACACGGCCAAGAGGTGTCTCTACCGGCGGTTGAGGGGTCGGCGGAGCGGAGTGCGAAAGGGAGTCCTGGGTGCAGCTGGGCGGGGAGGGTGCAAGTAGTGGAATGTGACGTCGAATTCGGCGGCACGGCAACAACGGCAGCAGCAGTCAGCAGACCCTCCCCCTTCTGATCAGGCGCCGAGCTTCCAAAGTTGCTGCAGAGGGCAGAGCCGGCAGAGGGCTCATGCCCGCCGTGCCCGCTGCCTGCCGAGTGGGTCACCAACTGCGCCGCGCGCCAGCGCGCCGGATCATCGGCGCTCCCCTCCTACCTGCTTGCACTCTCATTCGCCCTTTTGTTTCTTCGCAGATCTTCATCAGGTTCTGCATCTCTGTTTGCTCAGGAAGTTTGCTCAGGTAGCATTGCTCAAGACAACGTCAGCAGGAACGCGCACTCTGCACAACGCGCAAAGCCCAGTGCAGAAGCGCGCGAAAAGATCATGCACAGGGCTGAGTGCTCGGAGCTCAGGGACCGCAGGGACCTCGCATATACGCTGGAGCTACGATCTCACAAAACCGGCCCAGCGGACTTGTCCTGCATCCTCGATGTGCTCTGCGTGCTGACGGGCCGTCGGTAGCCCACACGGGCTACCCACGGCGTGAGCTCCGGCGACGGAGGGCCAGTCCATGGAGGAAAGTAGCATGGGCGAAAGTCTCCGGTATCACGAACTCGTGCCACAGAAAGTGCTAAGCGAGAAGGAAAGATCCACTGCGCTACTGCGTACTCCTTCTGGAACCACTAATCCGTCCCGAACGCAAGGCGAAGCAGAAGCGCGCCCGGCGCTAAGAGTCTTCTGGCCTCGCACCGCGGTAACACACGGCACGAACGTTCGGCAGATCTACACTCGCACTTGCGTTTCTATGACATAGCTGTGGATCGTTCCAATGTTTGGTCCAATAGTGCAAAGACATCGGGGAAGAACGTCGGGACTACTGCCTTCGCACCAGGTGTCAAGCCCGACAACCCGACAACCCGACAGCCCGACGACCGATGGGCGACAGGCGACGGTCCAGATGCGACATCGGAGCGCGTAAGAGTGGGATGAAAGGTTTTGAGACAAGCCACGAACCTCTGCTCGCTAATAGACTTCCGACAATTGGACGACCTGGACGCCATGTAAAGCCATAGAGACAGCCAGCAGCCATGAGTATTGAGCCTCGAAGCCGTGGCCAGAGCGAGGCTTGCCAAGCCGTCGCTTATGCGCAGAAGGCAATATACGCTCAACATGCCTCGATACGCAGCCAAAGTCCATCGTCCGGCGGCATAGTCCACTGACAGATCTCTGCCACTGTGCTCTGCCGAGGACGAAGAGGAATGGGCAAGAATTGAGTAAAATCATGCATATTGCGCCTCAACCACAGGAATGCGAGGGTCCAGGAATGCTCGGTCAGAGGCGTCCAGAGGTGTTCAGAGGTGTCCAGAGGTTGCGTGGGTGCGTGGGTGCGTGGGGTGGGGGAAATCTTCGGAAGAGAACAGAAATGGTAGCGATATCTCGCCGATAACTCTCTGAGTGAGTCTCTGAGAAGTCGCCGGCGTACGGCCCGGCATGTCCCTTGCCCTTCTGAACGGCAGACTGGAGGAGGAGGTACTCATCCGATGAATGTCAGCACAGCAGCGGGAGCGTAGATTACCTCGAGTGTCCGTCTCCGTCCCCTCCCTGCCACACTGACTACATATCTACCTCCAATCTCTCTACAGGGCCGGCAGCGCGGGCCGTAGCTCAACTCACAACGCCTTTACGTGAAGCCGTCGGCTCCGAGTCCCCACTATGTATGATAGTAACAACTGCGACGGCCGCCGTCCGGAGATGTCATCCGTGTCTCTGCCCGACCCATCTACGGGTTCGATGGCGGTGCCATCCAATTCAAAACTCAGGCTGACTCTTTCTCCCCCGCGCGCGAACTGCTGACGGCCAATACGAACTCTAGATCTGCCTGAGCGCAGGCTCTCACTCTTGCCTCTGCATGCTCGCTCGGAACACCTAGATACATTCCGATGTCGGACTGAGCATGCGCGGCGTAGTGCCAGCCTCCCGTCGCGAGATCGCTAGGGTTTAGCGGATTGCACGAAAATACTTTGCTCCGCTTGTGGCGTACTCTCAGTCTGCCCGTGATCGTCAGTCTTCACTCAGATGTTCAGTCAGTTCGCTCGCTGCTCAATTGCTCAGTCGCGAGCAGGCTCACGCTCGCATCGCTCGCCCCGCTCGCCCGCTCGCTCGATGTGATAGCGCACTCTATTCATACGTCTCAGAGAGAGACATACAGGCACAAAAACGCCAGGTTGAGGCCGCCGGAAAAAGCTTCTACTTCTAACTCTAGCCTCTAGCGTCTAATTGCCCAAAAGTCTCTTGCTACATGAAATAATTCCCAGGGGTTGAGATCCTAACAGCGGGGGGTCGGCACAATGAAGAGAAAGGTGGGGGGTGTCCACATGCAGGGTGTGTGTCGTTGCAAATTTCGTGTGCCTCGTCGCCATTAGTCGGGCGGTGTAGGGAATCGTTCGTCGGAATAGGGTGCCAGAATTTCTATATCATACACGGAAAACTTGTTGATTTCGAGGGTATCGTTGAGGTTGCGTCTCCGCCGTCACACGGGAAGGGGAGCAAGCCGGTGCTCTATATGTGCGTGTCTTGACACAAAACGTCCATTTCGTCGGGTGCCAACAGCGCCGCGGTGTTTTATCAAGACCGATGAGGGGATAACGAAAGATGCGGCAGTTGTCAAATGATGAAAGTTGTTGTATTGTTGCAGGTTGGGTTGGTTGCAGGGGGAGGGGAGTTGGACGCGTGTGAACACAATGCTTGCTTGATGATGAGACGGGCGAAAAACCCTTGTTGATGCAATCGAAACGGGAGAACGGGTGGGGAAGGGGAAAGCGAAAAAGAATAGGAACAAGGGACTGCGCAGCGACCGATCGTGTTTACACTCGTGTCACTGCGGCGTCAGTGCCAACCTCGGAGAGCAGAGAGAGAACCCAGATGTTCTAGAGTTGACACCAATCGAGGCGTTGCGGGGAGCGGTGGAAAGCTCGCAGCTTACCACCACGAGGCACCAGAGGAGCCAGAGGCAGGGGGGAAGCCACCACCTCCGTAGCCGCCGGCACCACCGCCGCCGTAACCACCGCCGTAGCCACCACCGTAGCCACCGCCGTAGCCGCCTCCGTAGCCACCAGAACGCTGGCCACCGTAACCACCACCACCGCCGAAGCCACCACCCTGGCGAGCGTCGCGGCCGCCCATGCGGCCACCACCGCCGCCACGGCGACCACCAGAGCGGCCGTAGCCGCCACCACCGTACGAGCGCTCCTGAGAAATGTCAACAAGCCACTGAGGAACCTCCTGGTTGGCCTCCTTGAGCAGGTCGATGAGGTCGCGGCCGATGGCGAGGTTGGAACGGTTGAAGAAGGCAGTCGAGGTACCCGTGTTACCGGCACGACCAGTACGACCAATGCGGTGAGTGTACTCAGCAACGTCGGTGGGGAGGTCGTAGAGGATGACGTGGGTAACGTTGGGAATGTCGAGACCACGGGCAGCGACGGCAGTAGCGACCAGAATGGGGGCACGGCCGGTACGGAAGGCGTACAGAGCGGCCTCACGCTCGCGCTGGGTGCGGTCACCGTGAATCGAGGTGGCGTTGTGCTGCTGCGAGCAGAGGAAGTCGCAGAGAGAGTCGGCCATACGCTTGGTCTCGACGAAGACGAGGATGAGACCACCCGACTGCTCGGCGAGGAGCAGGTCCAGAAGAAGCGAGCGCTTGTCGTGCTCGTCGACGTACTCGATGCGCTGGGTGATGTTCTCAGAGGTCGAACCGACACGACCAACCGAAAGGAAGATGTAGTCCTTCAGGAACGAGCGGGCGAGCATCTGGATCTCCTTGGGGAAGGTGGCGGAGAACATGAGGGTTTGACGGTTCTGGACGTCGGGCATGTCCTCACCCTCAACAATGCGGCGGATCTGGGGCTCGAAACCCATGTCAAGCATGCGGTCGGCCTCATCAAGAACGAGGTACTTGACGTTGGCGAGCGAGATGCGGCCACGCTCAATCAGGTCGACGAGACGACCAGGGGTGGCGGAAAGGAGGTCACAGCCACGGTCGAGCTGGCGGATCTGCTGACCAATGTCGGCACCACCGTAGACGACGGCGGGGCGGACCCACGAGCGGTAGGCGAACTTGCGGGCCTCCTCGTGAATCTGCGAGACGAGCTCACGGGTGGGGGCAAGAACGAGGGCAGTGGGGTAGGCCTTGCGACGCGAGTAACCGTACGAGTTGTTGTCGGGGGGAGGAGCCGAGGGGCCGTAGGTGTACATGGCAGAGAGGATGGGGAAGAGGAAGCCTCCAGTCTTACCCGAACCAGTCTGGGCACAAGCCATGAGGTCACGGCCGAGGGCGACAATGGGGATCGAGTACTTCTGGACGGGGGTAGGGGTGGTGTAGCGGGCGTACTGGATGTTCTCGAGGAGAACGGGCTCGGGAACACCCGAACCAGTGGCCTCGACAGGGATGTCGGCATACTTGTCGAAGTTGATACCAGTCGACTGAGAAGACGTTAGTGACGGTTGATCTCACGCTTTCGCCACCCATCGTCTGAGACAAAGGGGCGGCTTTCATGTTGCAAAACTCACCTGGTGGGTTCCATCGCCCTCCTCACCGTAGAGCTCCTTCTCGAGGCGCTGGTTGCGAGCGCCAGTGATGTGCTTGCCGTCGCGCCAGGCGCCAGCACCAGGGGCAGTGCCGCGCTCAAAGCGGTCGCCGCCGCGGCCACCACCACGGGGTCCCCAGCCGCCGTCGTTACCGCCGCGGGGAGGGTGGTACGCACCCGAGTTCTGGACGGGGGTGGGCGCGGGGGTAGGAAGGCCGGTGGGCGAGGGGCGGTAGCCGTTGCCGGAGGCGTGAGCGGGGGTAGGGGCCGCGCCGTTGAAGGGAGCCTTAGCCTGCTGAGCCTGACGGGCACGAAGGTAAGGGGGAACGTAGGCGGACTTGGTGGCGTTGTTGGTGTTGAGAGAGACACCAGCTGAAGAGGATGTTAGCATAATGCGATGGAAAGAGTGATGAAGAGGATGAGAAAATAGACCGGGTGGCAAAAGTGTTATCAAGCCAAGGCAGTCCACAGTGTGGTGGATTGATTTGATTTACATAACGCGCCACCCGTGGTCTCGTGTCTCAGTTGGGTGGGTCGCCATCGACGCCCGGTGGAGATGAAGCGGCGGCGACGGCTCACGCGACACACGAAAAAGGGATTACTCACCGAACTTGTTCTCGAGGCCAGTGGCACCAGCGGCGTTGCCGTTGGTGTTGTCGTTAACAGTAGCAGTCATAACTTGTCTAGAGGGGTTCAAAGAGGGTTTGTCGCGACCGTGGATGGGTGCAACAAGAGGACGCGTTTGATGGGTTGGGTTTGGGGGTTGGTGGGTGCGGGAAGAAGATGTTCTTCAGAGTCTTCTCGGTCTATAGTAGTTGTACAGAGCGAAAAGAGCGTGCAAGTCGTATCGTGAATCGAGAGCCAGTGAAGGAGAGTCGAGTACGATCCGAAGGAGGATGTTTTTCGATGTTTTTGGGAAGATGGATGTAAGAGAGGTGGAAGGGGGGGGGTTGATGAGGAAAGAAGAAAGAGAAAGTGGAACTGAAAAGCTGTAAAAGAGATTTGACTGGGCGGTGTGGGTGATGGGCGGTGAGGCATGCGGGCTGAGGGGTTCTGGGCCGAGTAAGAGTGCGCTGGCAGAACAGGAGGGCTTAGAGGGAGCAAGTGGCTCAGGGTCAGCAATCCTCTGTCCCCTACAGTGGAGATTCAGACACGGGGGCAGGAGGTGCATGGTGCACAGGTGCAGCCCCCAGGCGACACCAGACACAGGCACACACCACACACTGCACACACAGGTATGCGCCTTTGGACGGAGACACTACACCGGTCTCCCGTTGGCTGGGTGGCGACGGCGACCTCTTCCATCCATCGCACGCACGCACGCGGGCGCAATATTCCAGTGAAAATCTTTTTCACCCCCCGCGCGCGCGTCATACGCCCTGCTGCCCCCCTTGGCTCATACGCCCTCTTACTCCCGCTGCGGTGGGCCTTTGGGCCGTTGGGCTCAAAAGACGTCGGTGGCGACGGATCCTTTTTCCATTCAGTGGGGCCGGCGGCGCATCCTCACCGCTGCCATGACGTTTGGACGTCTGGAAGCTCCGCAATCCTGCTATGCTCATCTGACATGGTATGCCCGTTCCTACACGTGACTCCAGAGCCGATTTCTGCATTTTCTTCCGCTCTCACGACGCGTCTGTCCATCACGTCTCTGCCACGCGACTTTGTTTCCGTCTGAACCTCTCAGGCACCATCCAGCGACATCAACACGACGACAACAACATCCAAGTGCACGCACCGTCTGTCGATTCATCACTTCTCTGTCACACCTAGACATATCTCCCCCTCCCTAATCTCGTCGCTGTCCTAAAAATGGTGAGCTCGAACTCCTCGGCGACTTAGCTAACATTCAGTCCGCTCCCAACAACGCTGGTGTGTACCCTCTCGCAAGCAAACTACGACTGTAGTCCAGCTGACCTTGACAGAGTACCGCGAGGCCTTTGCGCTCTTTGACAAGAAGGGCACCGGAGAGGTTCCCCGCGAGTCCCTCGGCGAGCTCCTCCGCTCGCTCGGCCAGAACCCCACCCAGGCCGAGGTCTCCGCCCTCGAGCGTGAGATCGGTGCTACCTGTGAGTGCAAGCGATGGGGAAGGCTGGCTCGCTCGACTAGTGGGCAGCGACTGCCAACAGAGTATCAAGACTTTAGCTTGAGGTAACGTCCATTAACTAACACGTAGTCAACTACGACCAGTTCCTCCAGATCCTTAACCGTCCTGACGGCTGGAAGCCAGCCGGAACTGCAGGTGAGTAGACTTTGGTCCGCAGAGAGCTACGCATACTCGGAGATTTAGCTGACCAACAGACGAGTTCATCAAGGGCTTCCAGGTGTTTGACAAGGCCGGAAACGGATTCATCGGTGCCGGAGAGCTGCGCTACGTTCTGACGCAGCTCGGCGAGAAGATGACCGACGAGGAGGTCGACGAGCTCCTCAAGGGATTCCCTGTTACGTGAGTAGGCACGGGCGGAGTGCAGTGAAGCTTGCCGCTTTGCCATCTGGAGCTGGAAATCGGTGGTCTGCGAGCTCAGACTCGCCTCAGACGTCCAGTCTCCAACCTCTGCTATCGTCCATCTAGCGCTTAGCTGACCCTGCAGCGACGGCCAGATCAACTACCACTCGTTTGTGCGTTCGATCCTTGCGCAATAAATGTACATGGTGTATCAGGGAGCCAGCGATTAGTGTGTTATTTTGACTCGTTTACGAATGTATATTGTGGATCATGATGCTTCTCGGGGAAGGCTGGGGAAGACTAGGAGGAACCGACGAGGGAGCGATCTCCTTCAGCGGGCTCCATGCACTGGCGACCAGATCATGTCGGTCATGTTCTAGCCTGCGCAACCATCATGCATCGTCGACGTATTTCTCAAATGAAGGCTGCACATTGCTAGTCCTGGCCTCCGCTTTGGGCGCTTTGTTTTCGGTGGCGGGTCCCTCCTGAGTGAGGACATACCCACCACGTGTTGACGCGACGCGAAATTGGACCCGCGACGCGTCAAGGGTCATGAATGACAGCCCTTCCATGAACGAGCCAGCCACCAGGCGTTGCGGGTCCAAGGGGCTCATTTTCATCTCCTTGTTGCTGTTCCCATCTATCAACAACAACAACAAACCAACATGGTGAGTCTCAGCAATATGCCATCTCAGTGCTAACAGGTTTAGAGCGGCTTCGAACAGAACCGCGTCTTCGCCATCCCGGTCATGGAGACGGCGTTCGCGCCCGACTCGCCGGCCGAGAGCGAGAGGCAGTTCTACGAGTTCCTCAAGAACTTCCGTATCGGCAACGACTTTGTGTATCGCGACCGGCTGCAGTCTGCGCTGCTGATGCACCACCACACGCTGGAAGTGGACATGAATGACCTCGTCGTTTGGAATGAGGACCTCGCGCAAAAGGTCCACGACCAGCCCGGCGAGCAGGTGCCCCTGGTAAGTTGCATGAGTATGCGTCAACTAACGTTTCAGTTGGAGAGCGCGCTTCTCCGCATGGCGAGGCAGCAGGCCCTCCCCGGTGTCGACCCAGGCTCGACAGCGGCCGCCGACGCCGTCCCCGAGATGCAAGTCACGCTCAAATCGAACATGAACATGATCCAGTTCCGCCAACTCACCGCCGACACGCTCACGAAGCTGGTGCGCCTGCCCGGTATCGTGATCAACGCATCGCAGCTCTCCTCGCGCGCGACAGAGCTGCACATCCAGTGCAAGTCGTGCCGTACCGTCAAAATCGTCAAGGTCGGCGGCTCGCTCGGTGCGGAGCGTACCGCGCTTCCGCGCCGCTGCGAGGCACCCGCCGTTGAGGGACAGAAGAAGGAATGCCCGCTCGATCCGTTCGTTATTCTGCACGACCGCTGCCGCTTCATCGACCAGCAGAGCATCAAGCTCCAGGAGGCGCCGGACATGGTCCCCGTCGGCGAGCTGCCGAGACACATGATGCTCCAGGCCGAGCGATACCTGACCGGCCGCGTCGTGCCGGGATCGCGCATCATTGCGACGGGCATCTACTCTACCTATGCGCCCCAGTCGAAGAACAGCAGCAAGAGCGGCGCTCCGGCCCTGAGGCAGCCGTACCTCCGTGTCCTGGGGATTGAGCTCGACACGACGCTTGCATCCTCGCCGGGCTCCCGCGTCTTCAGCCCCGAGGAGGAGGAGGAGTTCCAGCGCATGGCGCGCACTGACGGGCTGTACGACCGGTTTGCGGGGTCCGTTGCGCCGTCGATCTTCGGCAACCTCGACGTGAAGAAGGCGGTGACGTGTCTGCTGATGGGCGGGTCGAAGAAGATTCTCCCCGACGGCATGCGGCTACGCGGCGACATCAACGTGCTCCTGTTGGGAGACCCCGGTGTGGCCAAGTCGCAGCTGCTCAAGTTTGTCGAAAAGGTGTCCCCCATCTCAGTATACACTTCGGGCAAGGGCAGTTCGGCGGCCGGTCTGACGGCGAGCGTGCAGCGCGACCCGGTCACGCGCGAGTTCTACCTCGAGGGCGGCGCCATGGTGCTCGCCGACGGCGGCGTGGTGTGTATCGACGAATTCGACAAGATGCGGGACGAAGACCGCGTCGCAATCCACGAGGCGATGGAGCAGCAGACCATCTCGATCGCGAAAGCGGGCATCACGACGATTCTCAATTCCCGCACCAGCGTGCTGGCAGCAGCCAACCCCGTGTTCGGCCGATATGACGACCTGAAGTCTCCCGGCGAGAATATCGACTTCCAGACGACGATTCTGTCGCGATTCGACATGATCTTCATCCTGAGGGACGAGCACAACGAGGCGCGCGACCGCACCATTGCCAAGCACGTCATGAACATCCACATGCTGCGCGAGGCGGACAACGACGCCATCGGCGAGATCGAGCTGGACACCATGAAGCGGTACATTGCCTACTGCAAGGCGAAGTGTGCCCCCCGTCTATCCCCCGAGGCGGCCGAGATGCTCTCGTCCCATTTCGTGGCGCTGCGAAAGCAGGTCCAGCAAGTGGAGCGGGACACGGACGAGCGCAGCAGTATTCCGATCACGGTGCGCCAGCTCGAGGCCATGATCCGTATCTCCGAGTCACTCGCCAAGATCACGCTCAGCCCAACAGTCGGCGTGCACCACGTCGAAGAGGCGATCCGCCTCTTCAAATACTCGACCATGGACGCCGTCGCGGCCGGCCAGGTCGATGGCATGTCGAGGCAGGAACTGCAGGAGGAGATGGAACGCATCGAGCGCGAGTTGCGCCGCCGGCTGCCGATCGGGTGGAGCACGAGTTATCAGAGTCTTGTCCGCGAGTTTGTCGGCCACCAGGGATACTCCCAGCATGCGCTTGAGCGCGCGCTCTGGGTGTTGGAGAAGAGGGAGGTGATCCGGTTCAGCGGGCAGAAGAAGGTCGTGAACCGCGTGGGCGTGTAGGCCGTGCCGAAGGCGCGGTCGTGGTGGAGAGGGCGGCAGCGAGAGGGTAGGATGGCAGCAGGACAGATAGCAGATCAGTTAGTACACGCAGTGTAACAGTTTTCCCCGATGTGATTGATACTTGTATTGTGCCCGCTACTTGTGCAACAACACATGAACGCAGAGTCCATATTCGCTATAAGGCTGTAGAAAGCTAAAGGGGGGTATACCAGGTGGTGTTTTCTATCTATCTGTTGTATATGGTTAGGTTCTTCTCGCCACACTTCTTTCGCCTCCCCTCTCCATCGCTTCTCTCGCCCATCCCTCCTCCTTCCTCACCGAACGCACGAGCCCTACTAGATCTCGTGCGACTCCAGCTCCCCATTCGCATTGAAGACAAACTTGGTCTGGCCCCTGAGGAGTTTCTTCTCCAGGCTGCCCTCTCCGTGCAGCGTGGCCACCTCATCGCTTCCGCCGATAGGTTCAAAGTCGACAATGACGTTGGGCACGGTGCGCCTTCCCGTGAGCGCGTAGAGGGCGTCCTGGATCGCGTCCATGTCGTCTGGCCTGTGGTCCAACTCCAGAATGAAGGGCGGCGGGTCCAGGTCGTACTTGCCGATAATCCCCTTGGCGCGGCGGCTGTAAGGGCAGTAACTCTTCGAGAACACCGTGACGCGCGTGCGGAGCTTGGACTCATCCTCCCACCCGCCCGGGAAGAGTTCGGGCATCTCGCCCTCCGTGCTGTAGCTGTCGGCCTGGGCGTGTTTCGTCCCCGCGCTCGTCTTCTTGATCTCCCACGCCTCGCCCAGTTCGTCCCGCCATTCCTTGGCGCTCATCTTGGTCGGAATGATCGACGGCAGCACACCGCCATGGTACAGGAACCAGATCATGGCCTGGAGCTGCTCCGTCTTGGCTGCCTCGCGGCTCGCGGCCGTTTCCGCCTCGTTCGCCGTCGCCCGCGCCAGTTCCTCGGGCGACAGCACCGGGTCCTCGACCTGCAGCGCCAGGTCGTCCTCGGCCATGAGCAGCTCGTCGGGCGGCTGCTCCAGTTTCACCGGCGCGGACATCGGACAGGCCGTACTTGGACGTCGAGGAGTACGGGGACGAAGTCGGCTTGGAGGACGAGGAGAACTTGCCGATCAGCAGGAGCGAGACGACCGCGAGAAGCAGGTACAGCGGCCACTTGCGCCGGATCTGCCGTGCGACGCCGCGCGGACTCGGCCGCGCAGAGGACGGCATAGGGAGGCCCTTCTCCTCCTTCAGGAGCGAGAGGGGACGCGTGCTGCTGGCGGAGCGGCGCATCATCGTCGGTGCCGGAGTGGGGCGAGTGTGGGGTGTGGGGTATCGAGATTCTACGCTTCCCGCTCTAGCGAAACTAGCTGTCGAGACCGGGTGCTGCGACGTAGGACGCTAAGATGAGTGCGAGCTAAACGTCCAGGCTCTGTTGTGAGCCGAGTGCGCGAGAGCGTCGCGGTGGCCGTTCGGTCTAGCTGTCCAACTGGTGTGATGCGTGTGAGCTGGCAGTCAAGTTGCCGGCTACCGAGTTACGGTCCGGGTATTGAGATTTCGAGAAATTCGCTGGGGACTGTTGAGACCGTCCGAAACAGTCGAGATCGAGATGTCCAGTGGTCTAGACGTAAAGGAGCGTGGGTCGTCTGATCCGTCGATCAGGTCGGCGGCGATGGCGATGAGAGATGGAGTGATGGACAAAGCGATACGCGGCCGTCTTACGAGATTGCTGACCACGCCGATGGATGGGTTGTTTGTGTGTGCGCAGGAAGAACCAAAGGGGGAGATGCTGCGGCCTTAGCGCCTTAGTCTGTAATGTCTGGCTCCTGAATCGCTTTTCGAGATCCTGTGAGTCCTGGTAGTTCTGGTGGTCCTGCAATTCTGTCTCCCCTCCGTAGGCCGTAGGTTTGCGAGAGGGTTGCGTAACCGTGACCAGAGCTTGCTTCGCACGCAGCTACAATACTCGCTCGGTGCAGCGTCAGGCAGACGTTTGGGAGCAAGTGAGATCCGGGGTCTCACGCTAGCTTTCGCAGAGATTCCTGACGAGATGAATTCGGTGGCGTCGGAGGGATGCCCTGGCAACACTCGTGGACGCTCCAGACGTGGGGTCGTGGTCGTGCGGGCGCGTGTGTCGTGTCGTGTGTTGGCCGTCTCCACAGGGAGAACAGGTAGCGAAGTATGAGCTTGTGGGCAATTGAAAAGCTTGGTCCACACGAGAAAGAGTTGTTCGGAGCAAGCGCGATTCTAGAACGCCTAGAGACAAAATTGAGACCGCCCTGGACAGCTCGTTACGTTTCGACCTTTTCGTGCAAGTCCGGCGTGTGCTCGGTGCGAAGGAACAGTTGTGATCGGTGTCGGCGTCGGTGCGCGAGTCCAGTCAAATGCCGCAGCCGGTTGGCGTCGATAGGCGCTTCAGCCACTTTAATGAGAGAGAGCGAGATCGAGAGATGGATCAAGATTCGCGTCCTCGACGTGATGTCTTTCGGGCAAGCGCAGAAGCTTATACTGCTCTGGGACATCTCTCGCTGGAACACTCCTCGGGCCTCCTCTGGACCAGACTCGGAAACAAGTTTGCATGCCGGCATGGTTGTCTAGCACCCCCGGGAGAGTTCACGTTCCAGCACATCCAACCAGTTGCAGCCAGACGCGCAGAGTGTTCCAACATGTGATCCGCGCCGCGTCCTCGTCTCCTCCGCGATGCGGGATGCTGCTGAACCTGAGCTTCTCTCCAAGCTCGGCTCTGGTGCCTGTGCTGCTTAACACCTGTAGACTCAGACCCCGGGAGCTACGCTCGGCCATGGGTTGCAACTCCGCCGTCATCCCGGTCACGTGAGTTGCCACGCGACAACCACGCAAGCGGCAACCAGAGGTGGGAAAGCCAAAGGTGGAGGTCTGAAATTTATGGTGCCCGGCGTAAGCCCTTGGGTGTCGATCCGCTTGTTGACACCCGCATCACACCCAACCCAAGCTCAGCGTCATGGAGAAGGTCCAGTTCCAGCTCGAGGGGACTCTCCCCGAGCTCAAGGACCTGCACGAGAAGGGTCTCTTCTCCCGTCCGGAGATCCAGGAGATCACGAAGCGGAGAACAGCGTTCGAGACGGCCCTCGTGCGACGACAGGCAAGGAAGGACGACTTCTTCAAGTATGCCGAGTACGAGATCAACCTGGAGAAGCTGAGGAAGATTCGATGGAAGAAGCTGAGTGAGTACGCATCAGCACTCGAGCGAAGCGAGCGCGAGTGTGTACGTATCGACCAGGCTGCGAGCGCAATCTCGTTTGTGCGAGCTAGCAGGCTCGACGTGACGAGAGCTCGAGCAACGGACGTACGCTGCTGATCCTACCCCGCTTAGCCCAGCTGACAGCAGAATACGACCGCAACCCCCCTCCGCCAAGCGCATCAACGTACTCCATCCCCCGCCGCGTGCTGTACATCCTGAAACGCGCCACAGCCAAGTTCCCGGGGGACCTGGCCGTGTGGCTCGCCTATGTCGAGTTCGGCGCCCGGGAGGGCATGACGAAGATCGTCGCGAAAGGTCTGAACTCGGCGCTGCAGCACCACCCCCTCTCGCCGACGCTCTACCTCCTCCAGTCCTACCACCACCTGCACCCGGGCACGCCCCTGCCCCGATCGGGCGAAGAGGACGCGAAACTGGGCGCATTGGCCGGACCAGCGCTGGACGAGGCTCGCCCGGCCCTCGCGTTTGCATTGGAGGGAACAGGACCGGCACGCACGACGCTGCTCCTGGGTCTGCGCCTGTTACCGGGCAGTCACGCCCTGTGGCGCGCGTACGTGAAGCTGGAACTGGGCTGGGTCGAGGCGCTGCGAAGGCGCTGGCGCGCGCTGGGCATCGAGGGGGCCGTCGACTCGAGTTTCGACGGGGACCAGCTGGCCCTCAAGGGCGGAGAAGGCTCCTTCGGGCCAGAGGGAGAGGAGGCGCGGCGCGCGATTCTGTCGGGCCAGCTCGTGCTGGCTGCCCTGTCCGAGGCGCTCAAGAAGGTGTCTCCGACAGACCGCGATGCGCACGACGCGGGCAGCGACGGCATCCAGTTCCGCGCCGACCTGCTCACCATGCTGAGGGCGTATCCCTCCCCACTCCGATCCAAGGCCCTGGAGGCCGTGTATGCGGACCTCGAATCCCTCACGACAAACGCGAAGTTTAGCGAGGAGACCCGCGCGCGCGCCGCGCTCCTCCTCCTCACCCGCGGCCTGTATGACCGGGAGTACGTCCCGGGCGAGACCGTTCTGAAGCCAGGAGAACCAGCACTGAAGGGCAGCGCGCTCGTCGACTTCTACGCCCACCTCGGGAGCGAACTGAAGGGCGCCTCCGGCTCCATGGCGACAACAGCGGGCCTCTGGCTTCTGGACCAACTATCCGCCCTCGAGCCCGAGATGCGTGCCTACGTCCTCGGTCTCCTCGGACGGCTGACGCGGCGTAAGGCGCACCCGTCCCCCGACCTTCTGCTCCGGCATCTCGACGCCGTGGCGGCTTATGGCACGCCGACACTCGCGCTCGTGCGGAAACACGCGGGGCTGTATCCCGGCAACGCGGTCCTGCAGCTTGCGCGGGTGAATGCCGAGGTCGAGGCGATGGAGGCTGGAGATGCAGAGGCGCTGGACAAGTCAGAGCTGGAGGGCATGTTTGCGAGCCTGACGAAGGAGCTCCGACCCGACACGTCTTCGCCCGAGGACGTCGATGCGACGGTGCAGATCTGGACCGAGTGGGCCCTCAGCGCGTCAGACATGGTGCCCATCCTGCGCGCGTCGCTGCGCTCCCCCATCCCGAGTCTGCACTCCCGCCTCCTGTCCACTTGGTTCTTCACACTCCTTTCCTCGGGCCTTGCACCCGGCGAGGCGCTCAAGAAGGCGCAGGCTTATTCCCCGGGCTCGGAGTTCTACGCGCAGGCATTCGAACAGCTCGCCCAGCTTAATGGGGAAGAAGGGGCTATGCGCTCCTTCTACGACGCTTGGAAGCGGAACTCCGCTGGAAGCGAGGTCGTGGCGGCCGCTCTGGCTTATGCGCGCTGGCTCGTTGAGAGGCGTAAAGGACGAGAGGCGCGGACGGTCGTCGAGACGGCTAAGCGGCAAGCGCGCGAGTTTGAGGGCGAGCTGGAGGAGGGGTGGGAGCGGATTCTGGAGGATGCGGAGCGGGAGGAGGACGAGGAGCTCGAGGATGAGGAGATTGAGAGCGACGAGTCTGAAGAGGAGGAGGAGAGAAGTGACGACGAGGATGAGAGCGAGGACGACGAGGGAGACGTCCAGATGGGCGAGGAGGAGGACGTCGAGAGTCACGACAGCAGCGATCTCGAGATTGCCATGTAGGTTAGATAGGGCATGCACATATCCACTGCACCTCTACACTTCCACTCCACTCCACGACACACCACTGCTCACTTCGTCGTCATCAGTGCATTCTGCATGTCTATGAACGTCGGCTCGTTCTGAGCGCGTGATTTTTTTCGCCTCGTCCTCTCCTCGCCCCGATGCCTCCAGCACCGAGGCTCCAACTGAATGTACAACAATGAATCTGTCCCGTGTCCTTGGTCGGCTGCGTCGCTGATCGCTGGTCGATGGTCGATGGGCACTCTGTGTCTAAAACTTGGAATGAGAAATGAGAAATGAAATGTGGAAAGTTTGTTGGGAAATTGGGATCGATGCAAGTAAGGTAATTGGGATCGTGCGGGCCGCGAGGTGCCCGCTCAGCGGTGCAAGGGATGGCGGGTGTGCTGGGCGCCGAAGAGGCGGTTCGCGCCTCGCTCTGCTCGGCTCACCGCCTAGTACCCGTCGATGAAGTCGCGAGTGACCGACGAGAACTCGTTGAACGGGTTCTTCTCGTCGGCGATCGGCACGAGCTCCTTTGGCGTCGCCATGCCTGGTGTGCCGGGCGCAGTGGCGGGGAAGCCGGCGTGGCCCTGGATGATGTCCTCACCCTGGGCGTCGGGCATGAGTGCGCCAGACGTAAAGTCGATACTTTTCGAGTCGCGGATCGTGCGGAAGTTGACCGTGTCGATGCCGTTCGACTCGGCGGGGATTATGGGCGGCGTCATGTGGCGTAGCAGGCCCCAGCTGATGTTCGTGAACCACTTGGACTGCTTCACCTCCGACGCTCCGGCAGACGAGCCTAACCGCTTGTGCTCGTCCTTGATGAGGAGCTTCTTGATGAGCGACTTGCAGTTGTTCGACACGTGCTTATCATCCGGGAACGTAACATCCGTCTTGAGCACATTCGAGAAGGTCGCATTCCGGTTCGGTCCCTTAAACGGCGTCGTCGCAAAGATCATCTCGTAGATCAGGATGCCTAACGTCCACCAGTCGACCGCCGATGTGTGTCCGCACCCCTTGATGACCTCGGGGGCGATGTACTCTTCCGTTCCGACGAACGAGTTGGTGCGGAAGTCGGCGATACACGATCGCGTGTCGACGAGAAGTACGCCGTTCTGTCCGCTCTGCTTGATGACAGCCGGCGCGCCACCGGCTGGTCCAGACTGCTTCGACAGGTCGAAATCGGAAAGCATGATATGCCCACTCTGGTGCAGAAGAATGTTCTCCGGCTTCAGGTCGCGGTAGATGTATCCGTTCAAGTGCAGGTACTCGAGCGCGGCAATGACCTCGGCGGCGTAGAACTTGGCGTGCTCCTCTGCGAGACACTTGCCCGGCCGTGTCTGCAGGGCACGGAAGAACTCGCCGCCCATGCAGTAGTCGAGCACGAAGAAGAGGTAGTCGTTCGACTGGAACGAGTGGAACAGCGTCACGATGAACGGGTGATTTGACATGGCCAGAATCTCCTGCTCAGCCAGAGCGCGCTTAATCTTGTTCCGCTTGATCATCTCCTTCTTGCTGAGCACCTTCATCGCGAACAGCTTATCCGTCTTCTTTTCCCGCACGAGGTACACCTTGCCGACGTCGCCCTTACCGAGGAGCTTGATCTTCTCGAACGAGCTCGGAGATACTTCGACGCTTCGCGTCTTGATCGAGTTGGACGAGTACGTGCGCCGGAAGCCCGCGGAAGGAGCCTGCAGGAGGGACGAGTTGGAGCTCGCAGCCGCCGACCGGCTGGCCACAACGCTGGTGGAGTGGGCACGCGAGCCACGCGTCCCTGTCGCCGAGAGCCCGGACGGTTTAAGGAATGAGGGCGTGTTAGACCGGACCGGTGTCGAGGGTGAGGCGAGGGAAGACCCAGATGTCTTGCCGCTCATCGGTTGCGGCGGCGGTGTCGTGGTCAAGTCCACGGACGGCACCGGGGTGGACCCGTTAAAGTCCTTGGACTTGGTGGGGAGGGGTGGAGGCGTTTCCGGAGCGGCGTTCTTAGCGAACAGCGCCTTCGCGTTGGGAGCCGACACGACGCGGCGGATGAATCGTTGAGCTGCAGATCCTTTGTGCGAGTCGGCGCTCGTCGGCTGCTCATCCTTCTTCTTTGGCGGTATGCGATTCGGCGGGCTCGACACTAGTGAAACATTGCTCTTCGTGTCAATGTTGATATGGCTGGGCTTCTTCTTGCCGAGTCCCTTGTACTTTCCGTCCTTCTTCGTGCCTCCGTTGCCGTTGATTTCCGAGGCAACACTTGTTGTGCTGACGGAAGGCGAGGAGAAGAATCGCCCCTTGAACGGGCCGGAACGTGATGTCGTGTGGGCGCTGTGCAGCGAGGACATGGAGCCGGTCGCAACCGTGGGAATGCCATTTGAGACCGCGCCCGACGCGTTAGGCACTCTAGACCGAGACGAAGACGAAGAGCGGTCGTCGTCCTGCGTCGAAATGGAGTACGAATGCGACAATGGGCGTCCATGCTGCTGGTCCTGCGACGTCGCTGCGGGTGCTGGGGTCGCCCAGGGCTCGGCCGGGTACGCGGACGCTGAAGGGGCGAACGGGACGGAAGCGGCTGGGGACGAGTGCACGTAGCTCGACCCACCAGATCCAGATTGCCCTCCCCGCTCGCTGTCGATCGTGGCGATGCTCTGCTTTGGCTCGGACATGGACGTGCTGGGCGACGACGCAGCGAGGGCCGACTCGAAATCGTCGTTCATGAACGGGGCGTGGACACCACCGTCGAGTTCCGGGAGCGCCGGTACCATGTCTGCAGAGTCCTTGGAGCGGTCCTTCTTCCCCTTCTTAGGTTTGAAGACGGTGCGCCAGCGGGAGACATGGCCGTTATTTCCGTGCCCGTTGCCGTTTGATGACGGGTGAGAGGCAGGGGTCTGAGGGTAGACGGAGGGTGTCGCAAGTGGTGGTGAGTGGGCACCGTTTAAGCCCGGGGAATGATGTTGCGGCGAAGCGATGGAGGATGACATGGTGGTGCAGGGAGGGTCGGCGGTGGGCAATGCGTGATGAAGGGAAGGGACTGGGGCCGGTGTCGGTGTGTGTGTGATGAAGGGCGGCCCGGGAAAGAAAAGGTCGCTTAGTGATCACTAGGAGATCGAGGGTGTATCGTGCACAGAGCGGGTCGATGGGTGCTGCATGCCCGGGTCGCGGGGCAAGTGTCGAGTGCGTCCTCTATGCGATGGTAGGTATCCGACACGGAGGTCGCTGGTGGTTACAAGCGACTGGAGAAAGGTGGTGGTGGGTGTCGATGGAGGATGTGGGATGGCAGAAAAGGAGGAAGGGAGCTGTGTGTCTGGAGTGAGACAGGTGACGGGCCGGTGGAGGTTGCGCCTGGTGTGTCTGCGTGTGTGAGGCTGTGTGCCCGGTGTGCGGTGAGCGGTGTCGGGCCAAGCGGGCCAGGCGGGCCAGGCGGGGGCAGGGCAGGGGGGGTCGAGGGGGGTCGCTTTGGTCGTAGCGGTGGTGCTAAGGCGGGGGTTGCGACTGCGGATGGCGTGGAGGGTGGTGATGGGGGTGATGAAGAGGAATGACTTTGATCACAAAGTCGATGAAGGCGATGAGGTGGAGTGTGCCGGAGATGTGCTAGAGCAAGACTTTGTGAGTGTGTGCGTGCAAGAGGAGTCAGAGTGCTCGTGGATGAGGTCTCGAATGCTCTGTGGTCTCTAGACCTGACGCTAAACGCTAAGGGATGCTGACCATTCCAGGGTGAGGGGGGACCGCGGAGCTCACACCGAGAGAGCACCACCCGAGGAGGGAGGGAGGGAGCTTGTCCAGGTCACAGGGTCTGCCTGCCCAGGTGCCCAGCCAAACTCAAGCCATCGGTCTGGCCAATACCCCCTGTCCCCCACAGAGGCATTAACCCCTTCATTACAAACCATGGGCTTGCTTGCTAATGCCTCACCCATCCCCCAACGCCTCCCAACGTGGCCACCACCACCGTCGCCGCCCCCTCCCACTCGTCGGCACCGCGCACCTTGAATCATGACTGCTCACTGTGAGCACATGCATACCTTCCCTCGCACCACTCCCTATCCTCCGCCCCGACAACAATCATCTGCCGTCCACTCTTCCACCACAACTTTCTACCTCCCATTCCCTTGATGACACCTCTCTCTTCTTCCGAATTTGCTGCCCGTCCTCTTCCCGAACTGACATCAACATCAAGCACCTTCCTCGCCCCCTCTTCTTCTTCAAGCATGCAAGGCCGGTGTTCCTAGACTTGCTGTCCTGACCGGGTTCCCCGGGTCGGGTCGTGTCCTGCAAGACCCCAGCACGAGAGAGAAGTCCACGACAACTAGACCTTCCCGCTTGACCTGTCCAGACCCTGACTGACCTTTTTTCCGCTGATCCCTTGGCCGCCTTTCTTGTCCTACTCGAGCACTCGCTGCAAAATAAGTTTTCGACGACGCCTGAACCAAAGCCGGCCCGAAGCACGCGGCGCGCGGCAACTGCGGCACTGCGGCACTGCGACACTGCGGCATGGGCTATCGGGGCCAATGGATCGGTGCGAGGCGCAAGGGGTAGGGCGTTTCGTCGCTGTCACACCACAGGCAACGCAGGACTGACATGCTGGAACAAGACTTTTGGGTTCAACGCAACGCGCACATCTCGACACGCATGAATCACAGCTCTGTAATGGGATAGGCTCGAGTTGGCGGGCCAGACTCACATGCTTCTCTCTGACAGCGCTCCCCTTGCTCACCGCAACTCCGCACCAGTCAGTCTGCAGTTGGACAGCTTCACGTCTCGTTCCGACATACAGCTCCAGCGTGACTGAACCGTTTGTTTGCAAGGTTCCTTAATATGTGCACCGCAAGTCCTCAACCCCTTCTTCCCCCCCCTTCCGGATCTGCTTTCATATCGTTTTGGCCCCATCGATGAGCAAGAGTATGCGGTGGAGAGCGTAACGACGTTCCTGGGCCGAACCACGCGGCCACCCATGTCAAGCTGCCCCGTGGCACCCACCTCGCAGAGTTCAGCGTGGAGGCGTACATACTCTCTACCATCTCCTCCCGCCAACATGAAGGTTCAGCGTCGTTCATCCGACAGCCCAGCGCAAGGCACTCTGTCGACTCGACTCGGGGGCTCGCAGGATGTCTGGATCGCAACGGAAAGTCTGGCCAAGGCACTGCAGCGTCTACAAACGTGGTCTATCGAGGAGCCGTCCATGATCGTGGCGGTCTTGGCACACCAGCAAGAGTGCCGTGTGAGTGACTAGGTCATTTGACATGATATCGCTCCTGTACGCATCGCCTATCCTCATCACCAGATCACTTGGCGCTACACCCGTTCGCTGGGCCGCCGGCATGACAGCCGAGATCATGTGCCAGATCAGCCGGCGATCTCGTTCCAGTACATCCTGTTCTACGTGTCAGTCGCGCCAGTTGCGCCAGTCCCGATGGTCAAGATCGACAGATCGCTGGCGGCGGCTCGTGCGGGGTGGGTCTTGCCTCTCCTGGTATCCCCCCCTGGACCCGTGGCCACCGCAGTCCGCCATGATCGACAGATTAACGATCAGATCAGCATGGAGGCATTCCCTGTCCCTCTTTCCCCTTCCCCTGCATTCCTCTGATCCTCTGACGCATCTGAAGGACAAGCGGTAAAGCGACGCTGCGATAGAGGTGACTACCACCAAGTCGGCCAGCACGTTAATCACGTGACGCTCCGTAATCCCACCCGAACCCTAACTGCCATGTATATTTAAGCCCTCCACTTTATATGCAGCACGCGCACACATGTCGACGAACGCTGTCCGCCTCTCAATCTTCGTTAACCTGCTACAAAATCCATCCAGAGGTCGCAAAGCCTTGCAACATCATGCAAACAAGAGACCGTTCCCCCGCTGTCCGCCGCGTTGAGCAGATTCAACCACCAACTCTTCCGCACGAAGCCACTCATCTTCTCCAGCTATCCCTCTTCCACCTGCGTTGCATGGCTTTTTCCTTCAGCCTACTTCCATGCAGATCACCCAACAGTCAACCAGCAATACCCCAACCTGTTGCAGGAGGCAGTTCGACCGACCATCGAATTGTCCAGATGTGGTCCGAATGGCCGTGACACAGTACCTCCACCCAAACATCTGTGCGCGGTAGCGGGGCGTAAACATGCCGTTCACCTTTGACTCGCCACCGTTCATATCCATCTTGACATCACACTACCCTTCAACCCTTCATCTTCTTTCCATCCATCGCTCTCGCGCATCCACGACACCTCCGATCACTGTGACCGGCACGTATCACGATGTCCAAGGCGCGTGGCAAGGCCCGGGCCCCTACCAAGGCCACAGCTCAACCCACAACTCGACTCAGCAAGCGTCAACAGCAGATCGCTGAACAGGTTGTCTCCGGTTCGGGTTCTAGGCAATCGCGCACCCGCTCCCCCGCAAAAGGGTCTAGCGCCCTTGATTCGGAACTGTCGGACGTGGGCGACGACGAGGACGACGACGGAGAGATCAAGGGCGAGTTCGGCCGCTGGGGATCCGAATGGATTGCCAAGTTTCGTGATCTCGATGAAGTCTGGGGCTCGGATGAAGGCTTCCAGCTCTACTGTAACCTTCTCGGCTTTAAACCCCAGCCACTGGAGCATTGCGAGGACAATTTATTCCCCAACGCCGCCGCTCTCTGGGGATTGAAGCTTCACAAGGTCAGGAAGGGCATGAAGTACACGTTCATGACCAAGGGCCGCGGCCCTTCCTGTTACATCACGCCCTCGTCTAAGAAGACGCCGTGTCATTACCATGAGCACTCGTTCCCCTTTCTCTACGAGTGAGTTTTGCAGCCTGATTCAGTCCGACGTGAACTTCCGCTGACAGTGTAGCCCGCCCAACGGTCTCACATGTCTGAATGCCCTGAAAGCCGGCTGTCCGACTCTTATCGTGCGCTGGGATCCTGTAGAGGGCTTCATCGCCGCCTGCGCGTATTGCTTTTACACCACCAAAAGCAACTGCACCCTCGTCTTATACAAACTGACCTGGCAGGCTTCTGCTCCTTACACCAAAGAGGAGCTTGAGGCTGCCAAGATCGGTAGGAGCCGGAACTGGAAGGTTACGGGCGGGACCATGGAGGAGTTTCTCCAGAAAGTGCAACCTGTACCTGACGCTAAACGGACCGAGTCTCACGACGGCAATTCGAGCGACAGCAGCCAGTCCAACGACAGGGATCGGGACAACCGTCCCCGCCCGGAGCAGAAGGGTCGTGAAGGAAAAGATTCCGAATATGATGAGTCCAGTGAAGGAGAACCTGATACGCGTAAAGGCGGTGCTCAATCGAACAAGAAGCGCTCGCGGTCGCCTGAGTCGGACGCGGACGCGTCTAATAAGAAGAAATCAACCACAACCGCACTGGCCGAAAACGCTAAGGCCGCTGAACACCGCCGGCAGGCAATCTTGGCTGAGGAGGCACGCCGAAAGAAGGAGGAGGAGTACTTCCAGGCTAACCGGCGTGCACAACGCGAGCTGGAAGCTAAGCAGGCGGCAGAGGAGGCACGACTTCAGCTGCAAGATCATGAGATGACGGCGAACATGCGGGCTGGGCTCGCAGCACTGTCGGGCGGCGGCCAGGGCGGCAACGGCAACCCCAAGGCCGATGGCAACCGCCGGGCTGGCAACCCGGACAGCGTCGATGCTGCGCGAGTCGCCGCTGCCCTCTCTGCTTTTGGGGGTTCAACCGGGGCTCCAGTTCCCGCTGAGACGGCGGAGAAAATCGCGTCCAGGATCAACAGCTCCGCATCTCCTCCAAAGGTGGTCACGTCTGAGGATACGCTCTCTGGCCCGACTAATCGAATCCGTGTGAACACCGAGTTCATCGCCAGGCGCCGCGAGCGGTCCGTTAAGCAGACTAGTGGCATCTTATCTCGGCTGATAGCAACTCTGCAAGACGAGAAGACCAAGCTGGAGCGCGATATCGAGGTGGACGACGCCGAACTCGAGGAGAGGATGGGGCAGATAGCAGAGGATCTTACCCAGCCGGCTGGCATCGAGGCCATGAACAAGAAGCTTACCGAGGATCTCCAGAACTCGGATTCGCTCGTGCAGGCCCTTCAGGGTGACGTTAAACGTGCTGAGGATGCGTTGAGCCTGAAGGAGCAGGAAATGATTGCCCTGAAGAACACGACGGACGCCAAGCTTGCGAACCTGTCTTCCGAGACCAAACTTCGCTGGGAGAACTTTAACAAGCTCACGAAGGCAAGGGCGGAAGTTGCCGAGCTTCGCGAGTCCCTCACCTCCGCTCAGGCCGACGGAAAGACACTGTCTGCTGCTTGGCAGTCACAGCAGTCCGAGATCCAGACGCTGCGCCAGCAGTGCTCCGAAGCTCTGGCACAGTCCAGCAGTACGGCGGCTGAGAACTCACAGCTTCAGCAGCGCTACACGCACCTCGAGAACACGAACAACGGCCTCGAAGCAGAGGTTACAGCGTTGCGGGCTAAGATCGCTGAGTTAGAAAGCCACAACAAGTTCTTGACCCTCGCCCAGAACAACCCCGCCTCTTCGGAGAGACCGGATAGCCGCGATGAGCGCCGCAACTCTGTTCCGTTGGGTTTCTACGCCACTCTCTCCCAGGACGCGTTCCCTCGAGGTCGCCACAGTCCCCCTACGCTGCCCGATCCTCTAATCACTCCTCCTGTCCATGGCCCCGTCACAACTCTCGATCCCAAGATCCTGCATCAATCCACTAGCAACCCAGGTGGTGGTAGTGAATCAGGAACTCAATCCCATGAGCCCCAGCCCCCTTCTGTCCAAAACGTAGGTCCATACTGGAGGTACTGGCTCTGATCTGACACTGCTCTAGTTGTAAAGCTCCCATTCGGTCCCTCTCTCCACCCGCCGCGCCGACAGATATCATAGTTTAGTGATCGAACGTATGTTCATAACCCAGTCGTAGCTCGAGCTTCATGTGCCGGCATGTATCTATGTTCGTGAACGCCTGATCAGGATGAGGCATTCGCAAGACTGTTGCAGGTGGCCCTACGACAGCAGGGGCTACACCCAACTGACCGTGTTTCTACTCACTTTGCTTTGATTACTCCTATGTGCGCATCTCGTGTTTTAACTCTTATTCGTTCTGCTCCTCTGTTCTTTCAGCCTCTGCATTAGTCGTCTAGCGGCGGGATGGCCAATTCGATGTTGTTCGATTCCATCCGTGCCCATTCGATTGCTCAATTCGAACGGTGAACTGCCGGTAATCCAGTTCGACACAATGAAACACTCGTTCGAACTGCTACCGCTCAATTCGAATGCCGTCTGTTAGAAGCTTCTGGACGTCGAACTGCCTTTTGCCATCCCATATAAGGCTCCTTTCTCCCGACCGACAGGGTCTGCTGACTGTGGTTGCACAGCGTCAGTAAGCTTCCAACTGACACCAAGTACTGTCGCTTGACAGAGAGGGATACTGAGCATGCATCAAGGGAGCGAACGGTGTCGTACAGGGTCTCGAAATCGTCGTTGCTGTTCATAGCATTTTTTTTTTTTTTTTACGGCATCTCATAGCTGTCTGGCTGCTCGCCCACGTCGCGTAAGTGAGCTGTCCGCTCAATGGCCTGCTGGATCAGACGTCGCAGGATGGGATCATGTGCGGCGTCTGTCGGTTCAGAAGATGGCTCCTTGTCTTGATCAGACTGCAGGGTATCGACCGCTGGAAAAGACATGTGGTACAACATGCCGATGAGGTCAAGAAGGTGTGAGGTTCTTAACTGGGCGGTCGTAGTCCCATTTGTTTCTGCTCCCAGACGCATGCTCGTAGCGGACGGCACGTAACCTTGTGCCAGCAGCAATGCACAGGATACCGACAGAGGACCACAAGAGTTCTGGTCGTGCTGATGGATCCAGTTGAGCGCTTCTCGGCAGCGCTGTGTGTCAGCAGACCGGGACCCAGGTGGACCTACTTTATTGTGCGGCAAGGCCATCCAGTTATCATTGTCCTCCGCTGACACTGCCCCGGTTTCTTCCTCTAAACGAAGCCGGTACTTCAGTCCGGCCAAAATAATCTGCTGTCAATAAACGCCAATAGGGTGACTTACATTCAATGCGGTTCCAGGGGTCTCGCTGCTTAGGGAGTCGTAGACGACAACCATGCGCCTGGGTCCGATAATCACTATCGTGGCGAAGTGGAAGGCAGAAGGTTGGAATGCCATGACTGAGATTCGCTCACGCCACCGGGAGTCTTCTCCTAGGAGCCTACCCAAGGGGAGATGAAGCGGCTGATCCCGTCGCTGACGCGCAGGATAGATGGGACACATGGCGGTCTTGACCGTGGCGCCATTCCATAAGGGGTACCAAACGCGAACGTCGGTGTTCTCTAGAATCCAAGGCTGATGGATCAACGCCGATATCAGCACAAAGAGGCAGGCATCGTTGTACCACTCCATCTTCGTGAGCCGCGGCACCGCATCCCTCACTTGATCGATTGTGTGCTCCTCGCCGATGGTGGTGATCCTTTCACAGAGCCGGTTGATCACTTCGCCTGCCTCTCGAAGTGCTTGGCTCGACAATGTCTCCTCACACCATAGGGCACCGACGGGGACTTCGAGGAAATCGTGGCGGTGCATGGGTAGTCGGTCTCCCATGAATGTCAAAGCCCCCTTCAGTTCCATCTGAACGTCCAGGTTTGACAGATCACCGAGCAATGGGGCCGCTGTGGAGGATTCGGGCGCTGGGGTCCAGGGAGGGCAGAAGCATGACTGAGAGAGCGAAAGATAAGCACTAATCACGGACCGGTGAGCCGAGGGCCACCGTGGGAAGTTTCCACGGGGTGGAAACTCTCTACCAGAGCGCTTTGTATGGGAGTTTCCGTGTGGTGGAAACAGGTGAGCCGAGGGCCACCGTGGAGCGAAAGATAAGCACTAATCACGGACCGGTGAGCCGAGGGCCACCGTGGGAAGTTTCCACGGGGTGGAAACTCTCCACCAGAGCGTTTTGTATGGGAGTTTCCGTGTAGTGGAAACAGGTGAGCCGAGGGCCACCGTGGGAAGTTTCCACGGGGTGGAAACTCTCCACCAGAGCGTTTTGTATGGGAGTTTCCGTGTAGTGGAAACA